GGCTGTGTACTGGGATACAAACCCAGCCATCCAGGATTTACAGGCAGAATGGGTGGAGATAAAACTTGGTGAAGAGAGCTGTCAATTTAACTGTGGCCACAAAGATCCAAAGATCCAGAGCACCCAGGGCCCCAAATGTGGGGAAGAAGGAGATCCTGAATGATCAGAAAGCTCAGCGCCAAATGCCTGTCCTTCACCCAGCAGGAAACTGAGGCTTAGAGCCACCTGACCTGCCAGGGTCAGTTTAGCAAGTGCAGGGCAAGGACTAGAATTTAGGTCCATCAACTTCTAGTTCAAAGATCTTGGTGAACATACCTTTATACAACCAACATTTGCTGGGAACCAAATAATTTAATAATTATAACAAGGATATCTTTCATTTACCCTGTGCTTACCAGGGGCCCCATGGGCTAAGTATTTTGAAGTACATCAATTCCTTCAAGCTTCAGGAAACCCTGCCAACTTGTATCCAGGTTGTCCAGGTAAGGAAATCGAGCCTTAGAAAACAGGGTGATGCACAGATGACTCATACATTGACTCCCGATAAGAATAGGTGGGTGTCAGCCAGGCGCGGTGGCTCACGCCTGTAATCCTAGCACTCTGGGAGGCTGAGGTGGGCAGATAGCTCGAGGTCAGGAGTTTGAAACCAGCCTGAGCAAGAGCGAGACCCCGTCTCTACTATAAGTAGAAAGAAATTAATTGGCTAACTAATACATATAGAAAAAATTAGCCGGGGAAGGTGGCGCATGGCTATAGTCCCAACTACTTGGGAGGCTGAGGCAGCAGGATTGCTTGAGCCCAGGAGTTTGAGGTTGCTGTGAGCTAGGCTGATGCCATGGCACTCATTCTAGCCTGGGCAACAAAGTGAGACTCTGTTTCAAAAAAAAAAAAAAATATGTGTGTGTTTGGGGGGAACCACACGCACACAGATTGATTTTCATGTGGCTTGTGGACTCAGTTTAATGGTTTTAAAGTCACACTTAGAGTACCAAACTGGAGTGCAGGACAGGTAAACTAATGGGGGTAGAATAGGGGGTGGAGAGGTGAAATTAAATCAGCTCCAATTTCATTCCAGCTGTACAAAATACACTGTACAGACAAAAACGAAATTTTAAAATGCCAATGGCAAAGAGCATAGCAGAAGCAAAACTGAGGGAGGGCAGAAATAGGGAGATTGATCAGAATTCCCCTGCAAAAGAGAGGCCACCTCCAGAAGTCAACGTGTCAGCAGGGAAGGCACCTGTGGGGCTGGAGCACCTGGCAACCTCAGCACTGAGGCCAGCAGGGTGGGTGGGTGGGGTACTTCCCTACTGACCTGTGCTTGGAAGGTCTCAGGGATCTGGACTTATCCAGATCTTGATAGAAGTTTACAGGTGAGCACCGCAAATGCGCTGAAATTTTACCAGAATGTTGCGTTGTGTGTGTGCATTTGTTTTCCTCAAAGGAATCAAGACTTTTCTCCAAAGTCTTAACTGTGGCCACAAAGATCCAAAGATCCAGAGCACCCAGGACCCCAAATGTGGGGAAGAAGGAGATCCTGAATGATCAGAAAGCTCAGCGCCAAATGCCTGCCCTTCACCCAGCAGGAAAGGTTAAGAACCTTGTGGCCAAGGTTAAGAACCTTGGGTTGAAATACTCGGATGAGAATTGGAAGTGCTGGCAAGGGGTCGCTCAATTCTTTCCAGAAGTGTCCCTTCCTAGGGCAATTCAGGGACCTGCCCAAGTTTCAGAACCCGGTGTGCGGGTGTGCGGGTGTGGGGCGCAGGCTGAGCACCTCCGGACGGAGAGGAAGCGGGTGGGGAGTGGACTTGAGAGCTGGATTTAGGAGGCTCTGGGGTTGCTGCCTAAGGCGAGGTGTAGAGTGAGTGTCTCCGGGGGCCTGGGAGAGGCAGAGGCCGGCGGAGGTCGGGTGGGGGGACATTGCGGGTAGGGAGGAGAGGAGATGGTCGCCCAGAAAGGTCAGAGAGGGAAAACTGGAAAGAGAGAGGGAAAAGGATGGGGGAGGGGGTTGGAGAGAAGCGGTGCGAGGTGGAGGGGGAGGTAAAGAAGAGCATCCCAAAGTTCTCATGGCCTAGGCCTGGAGGTGGACCGGACACAACTGGGCGCTCAATCCTATTTCCTTCTTTCCCCTCAGTTCCAGAGCAGCCCCGCGGAAGGGCCGTCGGGTAGGCAAGGGTCCTCGAGGCAACGTAAGGGTTGCCACCTAAGGGTGGCTCCGTATCACCTCTAGGACCCGCCCCCTCCTCTATTCCTCCAGAGTCTGAGTCCTGTCCCCTGTCACACCGGGCCAGTTCAAGGGCAGTTTTCCAGCCCGTGGGGCGCGTCTCAGAACCTGGGAATCACCCCGCCCGGGCCCCTCGCCCAGCGAGTGGAGGGCACAGGGAAGGAGCGAGGGAGCGGGCGGGGAACCGCCTAGTTAGCCATCCCTCCCCCACTCCCGCCCGCCGCCTCCTCCTCCAGTCCGGCCGAGCCCGCAAGGGTTAAAGGCGGCCGCAGGTGAGGTGGGCGGGGCCGAGAGTTCGGGAAAAAGCTGCGCTGGGGAGAGGATGAAGGCAGAGAGCGCGGGTGAGTCACGGGCGGAGCTGGCCTCGCTCGCTCGCTCGCTCGCTCGCTCGCTGGCTCCCGCCCGCCCGCCCTCCGCCCCCCGCCGGCTCCCACCGTCTGCTCCGCCGCCGCCCGCTGCCCGGTCCGGCTCGCCCTGGGCTCCTGTCCCTCGCAGCTGGAGAGCCCGCTGGCGCTCGGGGCCCAGGAGCGCCCGTCTGTAGCGCAGCAGCCAGCCGCGCCCGCCGCCCGAGCGCAGCCTCGAGGTAGGAGCCGGGGTCCGGGTGGCCAGGGCTGCGCGCTACGGAGATCCGGTCGGAGAAACGCGCCGCAGCGGCCGGTGGCCTTGGGAGGGGGGTGGTTCTAAAGGATCTGAGGACCTTAGAGCCCCGACCGACGAAAGGAAAACCAGGCGAACGGGAGAGACTGGAGGGACCAAGGAGGTTGGAAACTGGGGGAACAGGAGCGACTGGGACAACCGGAGGACTGGAACTTTGGGAACTGGGAGTACGGAAGTCCGGACCACCTGAGCGCCGGTGATCCGGGAAGGCAGCGGTGGCATGGGACATAAGGCTGTCTCTACTCGCCTTCCTGCGTTGAGGAGCGGGAAGCCTGAGATGTGCGCCCCGCTCTCTCCTTTCCTGAAACCTTGGTAGCAAGCCATTGCATCTCAGGCCTGGGCTCTCTGGCTTTCTGTCGGGAGAGGCCACTCTGGAGTCTGGGTCGTCCTAGCCTCCCTACCCCCCCCCAGCCCCTGGGGCTGTTCCCAGGCGCCAAAAGCTATTAGGGTCCCGGGCCTCACTGCTGCCGCCCAGCCCCTCCTGGGCTGCCCCGCCCCGGCCCGAGGCTCCATTCCTGCCGCTTCACCCTGTTCCTTTCTTGTGGTGAGGCCGCTGGAGCCTGAGTAGGCGCCCCGTCCTCTCTCCCAGACTGCCAGTGCCACCTCCCTGGTCCCAGAGGCAGAAGTTGGTAGGATCAGCTGAGCCCTGCTGTGGGAGGGAAAAGACCCTGCCCTAAATCACTGGCCTTCTCTCCACCTCCCCCCAACCCCATGGGAGAAGGCCCAGGCACACAAACTCACACAGCTGAAGCGCCAAGGCTCCCAGACATTTGGGAGAGGTGGTGAGAAGAGGGGGACCTCCAAGTCACAGATATGTGATCAAGAAAGAGGTGGGGGTCTTTAGGTACCTAATGGTTTAGGGAAAGAGTAACAACAGACTAGGAGTCCAGGAGTTGGGAGACTTGGTTCAAGGAGGCACTACCCATGCCATACATGTTTGTTGACTGAATAAATGAACATCCTTGTTCAAGTCACTGCTCCAAATTCAGCCTTTTTCCTCTGCTTTAGAAGAAGAATGTGGGCCTGGAGCCATGGTTATCAACAATTGGCTGCATATTACAATCATAGCATCTATCTGGGGGACTTCTAAAAATGACCCATGCCTGAAATGCACCCCCTTATATAATTTAATCTCCTTGGGCAATTCTTACCTTTAAGTTCTGTGATTATGGCTTCTCTTGTTGCCCTCCTCTTCCCACACTCTGATGCTGCATCCCTTAAGGAGGTGGTAATTGAACCTTCCCGAGCTTGCTGGCAAGCTCTTCTCTGGCTGCCCCCTTCTCTGGCGAATCCACCCTCTCCCAGCTTCACATCTGAGTCTCCCTATCATGGCGAAGGGCATGGGTGGCAGCCAAAGAGTTGGCCAGCACTGTCGTGGGTCAGGACAGGGAAAAGGACTTGACTTTCTCTGGTGGGAGAACCTCCCCCAAAAACTGGCACTGCAGATGCACCCCAGGGAGGTGAAGTCCCTGCCAGAGAGAAAGGGGTGGGGGCCAGGCATGGGAGTAGGTTTGGTGGGGCCGATGCAACCAGGCTAGGCAGGGAGCTGGGGGGACCAGTGCAGAGAGGTTTTCCTCACTGAACATGCCTCCGTGACTGTATGAGAACTTTATCTCTAAAAACTCAAGACCTGCTTTGGGCTTTCCGAAAGACAGGTCACCTCAAGCTTTGGGTTTTGGAAACCAGACCCCCCCTCCCGCCTGTTAAGCTGGGGAAGCTGAGATGGGTCTAGATGCTCCATTTGGGCTGGCAGCAGGTCTGCAGGGGAAAATGCCACTGCTCCTTGTGCTGGCCTGGGCAGCTGGGCTGGAGATGGTTCTAGCACTGTATTGTAGATGTGTCTGACCTACCAGCCTAGGAGCAACCCAACTCCAGGGATGAGGTGGGTCCTATGGGAGGGATCACCCAGAGGAAGTAGACCATCATCATCCTCTGCCCCTTGTTGACAGCCTCACATCATCAACCTTCCTAGCACCCCCAAATGATCTTGTCTTTCTTCCCCACCCACAGGTGCATCCCTCTTTTTCACCTGGGGGCCAGAGAGGAGAAGGGAGGGATGTGGGTTAGGAGGGAAAGTGAGTTGGTTACTTTCCTTACTTCTCTTCTTTGCTTCCTTTAGGTCTCATCTGAGGTGCCCCTGACCGTCCCTGTCCCCCACCCCGGATCCCGGCAATGCTAACCGCTGTCTGTGGCTCTCTGGGCAGCCAGCACACGGACGCGCCTCACGCCTCCCCGCCGCGCCTTGACCTGCAGCCTCTCCAAACATACCAAGGCCATACAAGCCCGGAGGCCGGGGACTACCCCTCCCCGCTGCAGCCTGGAGAGCTGCAGAGCCTCCCGCTGGGCCCGGAGGTGGACTTCTCACAAGGCTATGAGCTGCCAGGGGCCTCCTCGCGGGTAACCTGCGAGGACCTGGAAAGCGACAGTCCCTTGGCCCCGGGACCCTTTTCCAAGCTCCTGCAGCCGGACATGTCACACCATTATGAATCATGGTTCCGGCCAACTCATCCGGGCACAGAGGATGGCTCGTGGTGGGACCTTCATCCGGGCACCAGCTGGATGGACCTCCCCCACACTCAGGGCGCGCTGACCTCACCTGGCCACCCGGGGGCGCTTCAGGCTGGCTTGGGAGGCTATGTCGGAGACCACCAGCTTTGTGCCCCGCCACCCCACCCGCATCCGCACCATCTCCTCCCACCTGCCGGAGGGCAGCATCTCCTGGGGCCGCCCGACGGGGCTAAGGCCTTGGAAGCGGCCGCCCCTGAGTCCCAAGGGCTGGATTCCAGTCTGGACGGCGCTGCGCGGCCCAAAGGCTCCCGGCGGTCAGTTCCCCGCAGCTCAGGCCAGACCGTGTGTCGCTGCCCCAACTGTCTGGAGGCGGAGCGACTGGGGGCTCCGTGTGGGCCCGATGGGGGCAAGAAGAAGCATTTGCACAATTGCCACATTCCAGGCTGCGGGAAAGCCTATGCCAAGACGTCGCACCTGAAGGCACATCTGCGCTGGCACAGCGGCGACCGTCCCTTCGTGTGCAACTGGCTCTTCTGCGGCAAGCGCTTCACGCGCTCTGACGAGCTGCAACGCCACCTCCAGACGCACACGGGCACCAAGAAATTCCCCTGTGCAGTTTGCAGTCGGGTCTTCATGCGCAGCGACCACCTGGCCAAGCACATGAAAACCCACGAGGGCGCCAAAGAGGAGGCTGCTGGGGCAGCCCCGGGCGAGGGCAAGGCCAGCTGCGGGGTGGAGTCCGCGGGGGGCAAAGGCAACCGGGAGGCCGAGGGCAGTGCAGCTCCTTCCAACTGAGCTCTTTGGTGCCGCCTCCCTGCTGATCTCTGGGGCTATAAGAGTCCCCAGATCTGACACCTTCGGGGGGCGACTTAAGTAAGAGGGGAAGGTGGTTATTTATTGATGGGGGGAAGTGGTGCGGGGACAGGGAGAGGGACAGGGAGATGAGGCGCTAGGGGATTTTAGTCTCTGGGACTGGACGCAAAGCATTTGTTGGGGGCGGGAGGAGCTGTGCACGCCCCTCTGCTCTTCCCTTCCTCACTATTTCACTCGTCCCTGGCCTGGGGGGTTAGGGTGAGACACCCCTACCGCAGTTGGAGGGTGGAAGGGACAGGCTAGAGGAGAAGGCGCGTCCTGTATCCCGGGAGCGGAATAGGAGTGGGGCCGGCGGGGCGCTGGGGGTAGATGTCTGGACACGTCCCTAGCGCCTGGGAACCGGAACATAAAAGCGCCTCCGGAGCCTCCCTGCGGCCCGGGTCTCTTTCATCCCCCATAAAGTGCTTCTGCCCCTAGGGTTTCCGGAGGGAGCGCTGAGATGGGGTGGAGGAGGCTGGGGGTCTCCCTTGGCGGGGGTGTCTCTATCTGGCTTGGAAGGTTGTTGCTGTAAAAATAATTCCTTTGATGTGCCTCCTTATTAACCCTTCCAGACCCGGTCTGAAAGAGCCGTGAAGGAAGAGGGAAAGAGGGCTGGAATCCTTGACAGCTCCCAGTCGGGGCTGTGTGGTGGAGGGCAGAGTTAGATGTGGGGGTGGGGGTGAGTGGGGAAGTCTTCTAAAACAAGAGAAAGGGGTTTGGTGGGGGAATGGAAGGAACTAACCCCTTCCCTTTCCAATTCTGATTCAGCCCTTAACTCTTGGTCTTTATAAAAAATACAGTTCAGTGGCCCACAGTCCCGTCTCTACTCTAGGTAGGTTTCCAAGGCAGCCAGCAGCACCCCCCGTAGAGCTGATGTAGTTCCTTACCCTGGGTTCCCATCCTGTGCCTTTCCCTTGGGAGTGCAAGAGGGTTATTTGGGCTATTTGGGGGCAGGTTGGGTGTGGCCCAGCAGAAGGACCTCCAGAGGTTCCCACTCAGAGTGGAGGACTCTGCGCCGGCCTGCTGGCCTCCTGGCCACCTCCTTGGCCATCATGAAGAAGCTGAGTCCCACTCTTGCTTTAGCATGGCCCTTGCCTTTCCCTCGCACGCGCAAGGCTTGCCCCCGTGGTAGAGTGTGCAGAGGAGGCTCCTTCCTCCCCATCTCATCTGGGAAGGAAGCTCCCCCTCCACATGAAGGCGTTCTCCTCCCCCTGGAAGGGGTTCTGCCTTCTGAGGTGACATCCAGGAAGCTGTCCCCATTCCCTTCTCCTTTAGATGCTAGAAATATATTTTGATTATGATCATGGGGTTGGGAGGGAGAGACGGAGGGAGGGGAGAAGCCCAGCAGAGGCTGAGCCAGGCAGGGGAGAAAGAAGCTGATAGATGGAAGGGTCTGGCAGGCCACAGGCTGTGGGAGCTGGGGGGCTTTCCCCGGCTGGAGGCTGAGGCCTTGATTCCCTCTGACCCCTCCCTCTCCCCTTGCTCCCTTTCTCCACCCAGAGTCCTCTGCGGGATTAGCCGTGTATTGATTTTTAAGTTATAAGCAAAGGGTATTTTATTTAATATTAGGGCACGTATGTGTGCATGTTGTGTGTACCTGTGTGTGTGTGTGTGTATGTTTCTCTACTGAGCCTGGGGTCTCCAGCCAGGGAGACCCCATCTTGTTCACCCTGTCCAAGTTCCTGGGGCCTAGGCCCACAGCATCTCTTCCTCCCTTGGGGATGCTGAAGCCCAGGCCAAGGTCTGGGAGCTACATGGGAAGCTGGGGCTGGGATCTGGGTGGGAATATGTGTTTGTGTAGAAAGGGGCCCTCCTTAAAAGGGACAGGGGTGATTTTCCCTGAGGGACTCATTGGCCCGGGTAGTTTAATGGATAATGTTCTTACTTTCTTCTCCCTCTCTTCCCTACCTCCTGCTAACCCGAGCAGAGGTCGCTTTCCTCGCTGAGAGAGTGGGGGGCAGGAGGAAACTGACAGTGCCTGCAGGTGGAGGGGGCAGAGAGGGAGGACACTCTGGGTGTGGGATGCCTTTCTCCTCCACCCATCGAAACCAGCCACCCCCTCCTTGTGCCACCAAAACAGCCTTTTCCACTGGCCGTTCTAAGGGGAACTCCCAAATGGGTGTTGGTGGTGGGAGGACATGGATGTTCCCCCCTATAGAAGCCCCAAGCGCTAAGGTATGCATTGGGGGCTTTGGATAGGTTTTCTTCTGCTCCCCTGTCTTATAGATCTAGGTTGCCTGGCTGCCTGCCTTTCCAGGCAGCCCCCCTAGAGGAAAATGTAGGAATTTTTTTCTTTAACTGCTGTGAACCCACTTTGGGGGGGAGGAGGAGGAGGAAGAAACAGCCTGTGTTTTTTATGCAAAAATAAAGTCATCAACCACATCATGCCTCATTTGTGTTCCAGCTCCCTTTCTTTTTTGACTCCATGTCCCTCAGCTGTGAGGGCCAGGTCTGGGCTGCAGAGTGGGGTGGACACTTCCTTTGGGTGCTGCACCTCCATGGGCTTGGGTCAGAGCTGGGACCCCGGGTCTGATCCTTTCCGGCGGTAGCTGGTACAGAAGGTGGAGGAACATTCCCTTTAGGTTGATAGCTGGGCTGTCCCTCCCTGGTCTTCACCTGTGGGGATGACAAGGTTCTAGATCTTTCCTCCCTCCTCCACATTTAAGCCCCTTCTGTCCTCCACCCTGCTAAGAACTGGTTCCCTCCCTTCCCAGGCATAGCTGGCCTCTTGGCTCCCTCATCCCGCCCCCATGGGGGTGTGCATGTCAGCCATCCCTTTGGTGAGGGTGACTGGCAGTGATTTCTTCACCCAGGATGATCCTTATCAGGGACAAGGCGATGAAAGGCAGCCGATATCTGATGGGCTCCCGCCCAGCTGGAAAGTATGAGGGAAAGGCCCCTACTACGGTTACACAACCATGGAGTGCAAACATACCCCCGCTGGACCCATGGCGTGCCTGCCCTCAGAGATATGCAGAAATACCCATGTGCACGCATTTTCCCAGGCCTCCCAATGCCTGGCGCGTAGTTGGTGCCTAATTCATGTCAAATGAGTTAAAAGCCTCATGACTCCAGAACTTCAAAGCTAGGACTCTTAACAGAGGATCAGTTTTGGGATCTAAAGGGGCAAGGGTATGTTATTGTGTTCTTTCATTTTCCCATCCTACTTTTTTGCCAAAATTATTATTTTCCCCTAATGGGATTCCTATTTTCCCCAACTCTAACCCTAACCCAATTTCCCGAAACCAAATCTGGTATTCAGGTTGGCCCATCCAATCACTTGTTTGGCAGATTCTGGGGTCACACAGTTTAAGGCCAGTTTGGGATGAGGGCGTGAAATTGATTTAGGGATTATAGAGGAAACCAGGCAGGTTTGGGGGCCAGTTGTTTGTTTCTATCTGCTCCTGATTGAGAAGGCTGGGAGGAGGAGGGACAGGTGTGTTTTCCTGTGACTTCATGCCTGCCCCACTCCTGCAGGTGCCTCTTTTGTCTTCCTGGTTCTGAGGGAGTTAGACCCCAGGAACCTGGAGCATGCCCTCCTCTTCTCCCGCATGGCTGCCCCAGGGACAGGAGGGCAGCTGCCGTCCGGCTGGGCCTGTCTGGGCAGGGCTGGGGCCGCCCCTCCTCCCCTTGCAGCTCCTCCCTCCCGCTGACCTGCATTCTTAGCGGGGGCCTTTGGTGGGGCTCTGACGCTTGCTTCCTCGCTTGCAATGCTGCCTGGCTGGCCTGGCCCCCCTGCAGAGCCCAAGGCCACCTCTGACCCCTCAGATGTGGCGCCTTGGTAGGAGGATCTGGCGGGAAATCAGAACATCTGGGCTGGCTCTCTGGGTGACCTCTCTGAACCATCCCCTCTCCTGGGAAGTGGGAGTCGAGTCCCTCTGGGGTGGGTGAATGACAGAGAAGAAGGCAGCCTGGGAGCTGCAGCCTGGGGCAGCGCAGCCTCTCCGCACCTCTCCTCCTGCCCGTTCCCGCCCCCCAGTGGAAAGCCAGGGAAATGCAGCAGGCAAACCACCTTTCCTGCAGGCCGCTTGCACGCCCATGTTCGCCGGCACACAGCCTTGACGTTTGTTTCTGGAATGACACCCAGTGGCAGCCTTGCAACCCCTCCCCGACATTGCACCAGAAGCAGCCTTCACCTTCCCATCCATCCTGGTGTGCCTGACTACTCGGCGTACTAGCAGTGTAGGTTTGAAAGAATCCTTGAAACCAAAATCCACCAAAAAACTGTTAGAACTAATAAGCACAGGATATGAAGAAAACATACAAAAATCAGTAGCGCTCCTACACACCAACAACAAACGATCTGAAAAATAAACCAAGAAGGCCGAGCGCAGTGGCTCACACCTGTAAGTAATCCTAGCACTCTGGAAGGCCGAGGTGGGTGGATTGCTCAAGGTCAGGAGTTTGAAACCAGCCTGAGCAAGAGCGAGACCCCATCTCTACTATAAATAGAAAGAAATTAATTGGCTAACTAATATATACAGAAAAAATTAGCCGGGTATGGTGGCACATGCCTGTAGTCCCAGCTACTCAGGAGGCTGAGGCAGCAGGATTGCTTGAGCCCAGGAGTTTGAGGTTGCTGTGAGCTAGGCTGACGCCACGGCACTCTAGCCTGGGCAACAAAGCGAGACTCTGTCTCAAAAAAATAAATAAATAAATAAATAAACCAAGAAAACCAACCCCTTTACAACAGCTACTAAAAAAATATTTAGGAATAAATTTAACCAAAGAGGTGCAAGATCTGAACTCTGAAAACGATAAGACATTGATGAAAAAAATTGTAGACACAAATAAATGGAAAGACACTCTGTGTTCATGGATTGAAAGAATTAATATCAGTAGGCCTATGGAGGTGGCCCACACCTGTAATCCTAGCACTATGGGAGGCTGAGGCAGGAGGATCGCTTGAGGTCAGGAGTCTGAGACCAGCCTGAGCAAGAGTGAGACCCATCTCTACTAAAAATAGAAAAAAATTAGCTGGGCAACTAAAAATAGAAAAAAAAAATTAGCCAGGTGTGGTGGTTTGTGCTTCTAGTCCCAGCTACTTGGGAGGCTGAGACAGGAGGATGGCTTGAACCCTGGTTGCAGTTTAAGGTTGCAGTGAGCTAGGCTGACACCATGGCATCCTAGACCCAGCAACAGAGCGAGACTTTGTCTCAAAAAAAAAAAAATACCGCTAAAATGTCCATACTACCCAAAGCAATCTATAGATTCAGTGCAATCCCCAGAAGTAGATAATCTGCAGCATCTCCCCTCCTTCCATTCCTGGAGAGCTGCACAGAGCAAAAGAGATGGATGCATTTGCTTAAATGCTGGTTATGGAGGGATGCTTTATGGAGGAAAATGAACCGGAAACCAGAACATTAGGGATCAGAGCCCACCTCCACACCACTGCGTGCCCTCTTTGGCCAAGGCTTCTCCTTTGCTGTTTCAGTTTCACTGTATTGTAAAGGCACCAAATATTTGAACTAGAAATTTCTACATTTTCCTTTCAAAGCTATCTTCCTGTCAGTTTGAGCACTGTAAGGCGGAATAGGCTTTTTGGGGTCAGATGGGTTTTGTGCATACGTGCCTTTTTAAAAAAATGCATTACCAGACCACTCTGCTATATACGGGTATCTTATTCCCTGGGGCACGGCTACCCTGGGATCGCGCCTTTATAATTCAAGCCAGGACTCAGGTAGTTGAGGTTCTTTTTTAATCTCCGGTTGCACCAGCAATCTCTGCTCTCTGACAAATCCTCCCTTTTCACGCAGCCTTCTTTCCACTCCCAGTTCCAGCTCCCCGCAGCGACCTCATTGGATGAGCCCGCAGAATAGTCCCAGCCTTTACTAGGCCTGAAAGAGGTGGCGGGGTAGGGCAGAGAGCCCGGTAGGGCTCGCAAGGTCGCTCGGTTCCTACAAGTGGTGCTAGCGCGCGCCCTGGTGGAAAGCGGAGGAACTGCAAGCGCTCTGTTCCGGCTCCGCCCCCTAGGCCAAAGGCCTTCCAGGTCACCTGGGAGCCTCCGCCCAATGGGACTAACCTGACCTGGAGCGGAGGAGGTGGCGCCCGGGACCAAGGTGGGGGTCTTGTGGGTAGAGATCGTGAAGGGCATACAGCACTGGGGACGCGAGAAGGAGTGGACAGAAGAGGGGCGGGTGTCTGGGCATGCACAGGACCGTGGGACTCTTGGAGAGGGGTGGGCTCGCGAGAGAGACGGTCCCTTTGCTGCCCCAAGGGCCAGGATTCCCAGTAGGGGCAGGACCCTCAGAGCGTGCAGTGTCTGCACCCACCTGCTGACTCTTGAGCCTGGATCTTGGGGAGAGCGTGTGCCTCTGTTTGTGCACTGCGTGCATCGCTTGTGCGTGCGGTGCTGAGCGTCCCGGCAGCGTCTTCCCTGCGTGTCTGCTTGCACGTGTTGGGGGAGGGGCTCCCTACGGCTGAGCCGTGGCCAGGATCAGGAGAGGTGGCAAGGGGGTGACATACTCCCCACCTCTCCCCAGGATGGCATCGTGGAGCCCTGAAGCCCCACGTTCCTGCGACTGCTTTGTCTCTGTGCCCACGGCCTCAGCCATCCCAGCTGTGATCTTTGCCAAGAACTCCGACCGACCCCGGGACGAGGTGCAGGAGGTGGTGTTTGTACCAGCAGGCACTCACACCCCTGGGAGCCGGCTGCAGGTGGGTTAGGCCTTGTGGGGTGCTGGGAGAAGTGGCAGATCTAGCCATTCTTCTAAAACCTTCGTCTCCTGCTCTCCACATCTGGGAGGCTGCCAGAGATAGTAGAAAGCTGTGAGCTTCAAGTCTACCAACCTGTACCTTGAGCCAATTACTTGGCCTCTGTCGACCTCAGTTTCCTCATCTGTGAAATAGGAATAAGACCTTCCTCAAAGGGACAAAGTGCCAGCATGTTGTAGGTGCTACCCCCTTTCTGAGTGGCCTCTTCCTTTCTCCTCCCTCACCTCCAGTGCACCTACATTGAGGTGGAACAGGTGCCGAAGACGCATGCTGTGATTCTGAGCCGCCCTTCTTGGCTGTGGGGGGCTGAGATGGGTGCCAACGAGCACGGTGTCTGCATTGGCAACGAAGCCGTGTGGACCAAGGAGCCAGTTGGAGAGGGGGAAGCCCTGCTGGGCATGGACCTACTCAGGTGTGGACTCTGCCCTCCCTCATCTCCCCGACAAAGCAGAAATCTGAGAGCAGAGCCTCTGTGGACATCAGTTTCCTCATCTGTAAAACGGGATGACCTGGGCTCATCCTCCCCTTCCCCAACATGGTCCACAGAGGCCTCCTCCTCTCTGCTCTCACCAGGGAGACTGCCCTGCATCTCCTCTCTCTGGGACCCATCTCTACAGTCTGATAAGGAGCCTCCAAATGTAGCCTCCTTTGGGCCTCTCCTGGCCCAGAAATAGAGCAGCGGTTTAAAAGGCTTTTTCAATAGTTGTAAAATTTTTTTCAATTGAAATCTCATGTAGGCCAGGTGTGGTGGCTCACACCTGCAATCCTAGCACTCTGGGAGGCCAAGGCAGGAGGATCGCTTGAGGTCAGGAGTTCAAGACCAGCCTGAGCAAGAGCGAGACCCTGTTTCTACCAAAAATAGAAAAAATTAGCCAGTATAGTGGCACTTACCTGTAGTTCGAGCTACTTGGGAGGCTGAGGCAGGAGGATTGCTTGAGCCCAGTTGGAGATTGCAGTGAGCTATGATGACACCACTGTACTCTACCGGGGGTGACAGAGTGAGACTGTCTCAAAAAAAAAAGCTCATGTAGAGTCCTGATTTATAAAACTTACGATAGTGGAGCAGCTCTGCTTAGAGAGAGGTTGAGGACTCAGGGAACTTCCTTCTCTGAGACTGTTTCAGGCTTTTTCATGGGACTTTGAGAACACAGCTTGGAAACCACTGGCACAATTGTGTTTAATACAGTCAATACCAGAGGATTTGCTGTGCGGCTCGAGCCTGTCATTGAACCTCTCTGGGCCCCTTCTGTCCACTGGGGCTTCTAACACCAGCCACTGATAACCCCATCACCCTCTGTACTCTGGCCCTCTCTCTGCCAGGCTGGCTTTAGAACGGAGCAGCTCCTCTCAGGAAGCCTTGCAGGTGATCACAGACTTGCTGGAGCGCTATGGGCAGGGGGGCAGCTGCCGGGAAGACCCCACACCATTCTGCTACCACAACACCTTCCTGTTGGCTGACCGCACTGAGGCGTGGGTCCTGGAGACTGCTGGGAGGCTCTGGGCTGCACAGAGGATCCAGGGTGAGGGGCCCAGGCTGGGGTCTACCCCCGGGGGGATGTTCCCTCTTTGCCAGCTTTGGCAGGTGGGAGAAAGAGTGGAGGTAGAGAAGGGCCCAATCCTCTCGGACATCCAGGAGGACAGGAAATTTAGGAATTCTCTTTCCCCTTCAGTTGAATAAGTCCTCCTTGTGCTTCAGCCTGCCACTTCCTCTGGGAAGCCTTCCTGGACTTCTCCTTGTGGTTAAGTTTCCCCCTTATGTACAAACAGGTTTTTCATAGCCCTCATCATGGTTGCAAAGTTACATTTATCTCTGTGATTATTCTATCCGCCTCCCCATCCCACTAGGCTCCACAAGGGTAGGTGGTTCCCTTCACCAGCGTGTTCTCAGCTCCTAGCCCAGTGCCTGGCACAGCATAGGTGCTTAATGATAAATGAACTACTCCCACATCTCCTCCACAGAGGGGGCCCGCAACATCTCCAACCAGCTGAGCATTGGCACGGACATCTCGGCTGAACACCCGGAACTTCGGACCCACGCCCAGGCCCAGGGCTGGTGGGGCGGTCAGGGCACCTTTGACTTTGCTCAGGTCTTCTCCCTGGCCCAGCAGCCTGTGCGCATGGAGGCTGCGAAGGCCCGCTTCCGGGCTGGGCGGGAGCTGCTGCGGCAACAGCCAGGTCAGTGAGCGGTGCCGGCCACTCTCCCCTCCTGCAGAGTCCCTTTCTGCCCGGGGGCCCTCACCCTCCCGTCTTCAGCAGGAGGCATCACAGCGGAGGTGATGATGGGCATCCTCAGGGACAAGGAGAGTGGCATCTGTATGGACTCTGGAGGCTTCCGCACCACCGCCAGCATGGTGTCCATCCTGCCCCAGGATCCCACACAGCCCTGCGTGCACTTCCTCACTGCCACACCTGACCCATCCAGGTGGGAGGGAGGAGGGAGAGGAAGGCTGGGGAGGGGGTACCACAGGGGCGATGAGAGGATGTGATACACCTCAGCCATTCCCTCCGTGTCCCTCTAGGTCAGTGTTCAAACCTTTCATCTTCGGGGTCGGGGCAGCCCAGGCCCCCCAGGTGCTGTCCCCCACTTTTGGAGCACAGGACCCTGTTCGGACCCTGCCCCGATTCCAGACTCAGGTGGATCGCCGGCATGCCCTCTACCGTGGACACCAGGCGGCCCTGGGGCTGATGGAGAGTGATCAGGTAACCCCAGACAATGGGACTCTGGAAATGAGGGGACCTGGGAGTGGAGGAGAGACTCCAGAGCTGGGAGAAGGTCCCTCCCTTCAAAGCTAGTGCCCAGGACAGTGTCGGGTGGTCCCTCCTTTCTCCTGCTCCTGCGAGGTGGCATACAGGCCTCACTTCATCCTGAGGGATGCCTGTCCTGGGCAGACTCATCCCAGCTCTTCCCTGCAGGACCGGGGGCAGCAGCTCCGGCAGAAGCAGCGGGATCTGGAGCGGGAAGGCCTGGAGGCCGTGCGGGGGCTGCTGGCTGGCGAGTGGGCCCCACCCCGCCAGGAGCTGGGCGGCCTCTTCCAGACCTTCGTGGAGAGGGAGCGCCAGGCGTACACCTAAGCACCGCAGCTCCTCCAGGACCCCGGGAGCACCTGCCCTGAGCCGGGGTGGCAGGGCCGGAGCATCCCTTCACGCCCCTCAGCCGTGTTTTCTGAGTGGCCAGCTCAACCTTTGCCTTAATAAATGCATTTTATGTCCTCGTTCAGTGAACTTGATCCCAGATCCAGTGGGGGTGGGAGAGCCAAGTGAGGGCAAAAGGCGGCCCAGGCTGGCTGTGGGGCCTGTGGTTGTCCCACTGGGCAGCAAATTCTCATGACTTAGCTGATGGGGACTAGGTGGGAGGACGGGGAGGGGCTTCCCTAACAGTGTGGGTGCGCGCACGGGTGTGTGTATATCTGTGTGTGTGTGTGTATGTGTAAGAAGATCATGCCTGGCACAGTAGCTGCTTGGGGACAGCAGAGGTCTTTGGTCCTTGGCTTGGGTCTGGGAGGGGCACTCCCTGGGGGTGGCAGTGAGATATGCCCACGGTGAGATGCACCTTCTGTCAGGAGCCAGGAAGCCATCTGTAGGGCCTGAAGTGTGCCCGCCTTCTGGGTAGTTCCCGAAAGATTAGAAACTGGTTCTGTAGAATCAGACTGTGTGTAAGGCTCATATTTTCTGTTTCCTGGTGCTTTTACTGGTTGCTTTCCCTGAGATGCCCCCAAATGACATGCAAAGCACATTCAAGGCTCAGAGATGCTTTACTGGGGATGAGCTCCTGCTACAGGTGAGGGATCTGAGAAGGAGGGCAGACCCCACTTGCAGAGATGGGCTGACAGAGAATTATTGCTTGATTCTCTTGGTTGTAGTTTTGGTTGTTCTGGGCACCCCAACCAGAGAGGCCTTGGGGGCTGCAGCTGCCTGGGCACCCTTCTTTGCCTGGACAGAACTTTGCCAGCCCCTGGGAACCAGAGTGCTTGCTTTCTTGGTGGGTGAGGATGCCTCGGATGAGGAGGCAGCCTCAGGGGGTGTCTCCTTCCCTTGCCTGGGAGTGACAGAAGGGCTGCTGTCCTCAGCCATGGGCACTGTGGGCAGCAGGGGCAGGTCTGTGAGAACAGGCTGGGTCTCCATCCTCAGCAGGTGCTCTGTCAGGGCTGCCTGCTGCCTGTGTGCCTGGTGCCTGCTCCTCTCCTGCTCCAGCTCCTGGAGGAAGCCTAGGAGAGGAGACGGAAGGGGGGAGAGAGCCCCGGGCTCAGAGAAAAGGTCTCTGGTGGACACCCTGCCAGCCCTGGTGGGTAAGAGCCTGAGGCTGGGCGTCAGGGCTACACTGTCTACCACCTCTGGCCCAGACGCAGCTCTGAGCTTGGGGTCCCCTCCCCGGACACCACTGCCATCTTTGGCTTCCCCTATGCCCTACAGGGCAGGCATGGGCTCCAGGAAGGCTGAAAGCCGTGGAAGGTAGGGTCACCTCGCTCTGAGCAGAATGGGCCACTCAGCTCTGGAAACTCCTCATCCTCCTTGCCCGAGGCTTCATCCTCGTCGTCCGAGGCCCAGCGCTCCAACACACGCTGCCCGTCCAGGTCCAGGAGCAGCGGCAGGGCTTCTGTCACCAGCTGCCTGCAGGGCAGAAAGAGCAGAGGCTACCCAGGAGGGCACCCAGTGTGGAAAGTAGGAGGAGTCAAAGACACAGGCCACAGCACCCACCTGGAGGGGTGGCAGTGCATGAGCTAGGGGGCGGGCTAGGGACCAGCCCCAGAGAGCTGAGGGTTGGCTGCTGTGGGCTGCTGGGGCTGAAGGGGGAAGGTGCCATGGACAGCGACCCCTGGTTTGCAGGCTGAGAGGGAGCCTGCGTGGGTTAGCAGGGGCAGCTCAGCCATCCCCTCTTTCCTCCCACTCTCCTCACCGGTAGCCATCCTGGTTGGTGCAGCTATTTCCTGTCAGGTTGAGGATGAGCAGGCTTTGGGGGAACTCATCTGCCATGCCAAGCGAGGGAGAATGAGGTTCTTATACGCATCTTCCCACCCAAAGCCTCCTGGACCCCCTGAGGACGAAGTGTGGCTCTGCGGGGCTGTAGCTAATGCAAGCACAGGGAGATGGGCACAGAGAGGATGATGGGCCCCACGAGGACATGTTCCATGAGCTAGGGCAATGGCATTCCTACCCAGCTTCAGTGTTTCTATCAGGTTCTCAGAAAGGTCCAGAAACTGGAGGCACGGGAGGTCGACCAGGTTTTCCACCTCCCTGATTTGGTTTCCTGCCAGAGACAGGAAGCTGTAGGGGAAGGAGGGAGTATAGAGGCAGAACTGAATCACAGAACAGCTGGAGGAAGGGAGAGGGCACCAGGCACGTGGGCCCCCTGGCTAGACAGCTGGAAGACATGTGGGGACAGATGGCCTTCTGGGGTGAGGGAAGCATAGTTAGGCTTGCTGGGTCCTCAGCTGACAAGGAGCAAGGTTTGGAGAGATCTGAACCAGTTCTTTGGGGTGTTGCTAGACTCCCCCCACCCCTCCCCTGTCTGAGCCTTGGCACTACGTACCGCAAGGAGGGGACACAAGCCAGGTTCTCAATTCGCTGGATCTTATTCTGCAGGAAGAAACCAAGGTGGGGAAACCAAGCTAAGGTCAGCTGGGTGGGGGACCCTTTAAGGGGACAAAGCCCCAAGACCCTGTCTACTCTTGCAGCTGGAGATCTGGTACTTTGGGAATGATAACCCCAGTCCTTGAACAGAATGTCACTACCTTAAGAAAGATGATTCGCTTTCTCTAAGTGGATGGTTAAGGGTGTAGCTTGGAGTGGCTAAATTGATTAAAGTATATGCTTCTGACCCCACAACCAAGAGTGACCTGGGAATCAGAGAAGGAACCAAGAGACCACTAGGGAAATGGGAAGGGCCTTGGCAGTGGCTTACATACAGAGGGAACAATGAGCATTTGTTCATTTGATTTATAAAAGTTTCTTAGGGGAAAGTTGAAGGGAGCTGGGTATATTCAACCCAGAGAAGGCTGAAGATCAACCAGCCACCATCAGTCACCACCAAATAGCCTTTAAAGATCTGAAGAGTGTAGAGGAATCTTCATAGCTTCCTCATTGTTCATAGTTTCCTTCAAAACAAGAAATGGGCTCGAGCTACATAACATGAAAGATTTAGGGTAGACACCAAGAAAAACTTCTAGACCAATAGACGTCTCTAATAAAGAACAGTGTTTCAAAAGCATTCAGGATCTCTTTTGGGGAGTTAGTCTTTCAATTCAGGAGAATTTTTGATTCACTGGGGAAAGGTTGAAATGAAGGTCTGCTTGCCTGAACACCAGGGAATGGACAGGATGAGAGATTAGGTCCACAGCGGGTGGGGAAAGAGGAAGTGCAGAGGGGTGAGAAGTTACCGCTTGCAGGTAGAGGCTGTGAAGACTCTGGAGGGCCTCTAAGTTCCTGATACTGGTAATCCCTTCCCGGTCTAGGCGGACAGTCTGCAGTTCAGCAAGAGTGTGAAACCTGGGAGAACAGTGGGCAAGGTGGTGTGACAGAGCGCCACTTCTGCGGTCTCTTAGCAGGGAGGATGGAGGTGGGAAGGTGTTTCAAGAAGGGGTAGATGGCTCAGTGATTTTGATTGGATGTCAGGAACAGCTTCTGGACATCTTGAGGTGAAGTCTAGATCATGAAACTGGCTTGACTTGGAGACCTGGATCTTTGTCAGTAGCATGGGGAGGGGTCAGAGTGAGAGACGGTAAGGGCCCTCTGGGTGATGGCAGCTCATGGTTCTTGGAGAGATTCAGAGGTAAGAGAAGGCTTCCTGTGGCCAGCTTGAATGGTAGAGGCAGGGGCAGGGACAGAGACAAGACAATCTCTGCAGGAAGAGCCTTCCTCACCTCCATTTTGGGTGGCCCATGGAGGGAAAATCACTTGTTTTGTCCACCCATTCATTAATTCCAAAACATTTACTCACTGCCTACTAGAGACAAATGACAGAGTCCCTGCCCATAGCTATCAGAGAAGCAGACCAGACATCCATGACAAGAGGATGGCAGAAGCAAATACAAGGGACTGAGGGAGTACATAGGCTGTGCACCAAGTCTAGAGTGGGGGATCAGGGAATGCTTCCTGGAGGAGGTGTGATAGATGAGTAGGAGCCCCAAAGATGGGAGATAGATGAGGAAAAGGCATTTTAAGCAGAACAAATAGTATGTACTAATCCAGCCTTTCTCAAACTTAGGATGCCCTTGAATCCCTTGGAGGAGGTTCATTAAAATGCAGATTCAGTAGGTCTGGGGTGGGCCTGAGACTCTTCATTTTTAACAAGTCCCCAGGTGATGCCAATGCTGCCGCCCCTCCCAACCCTGAGTAGGAAAGTGCTAAGGTATGAGAACAGGGTATAAGAAACTGCACACTTGTGGAGAGTGGCCAGAAATAAGGTTGAAAAGCTAGCAGAGGTCAACTCAAGCTTAGGTGTTTGAATTTTATTCTGGAGGTAATAGGGAACTAAGGAAGTTTCTACTGGGGAGTGCCTGGTCAGATCTGTCAGTTAGAAGGATCACTTTGGCAATAGTGTGGGGAGGCCGGACTAGGGGCAGGGAGACTAATTAGGAGTTTGTGGAGAGGCGATAACAGCTCATCTAAAGCAGTTGAGTGAGGATGATGAAAAAGAAATAGAATAGTTTTTAAGAAGGGAAATACAATTGGACACCCCTGATTGGATATGTGGAATAGGTAGAGAGAGACAAGTAAAGCTCAGGGAACTGTCTCCCTGAGCATTTCCATCTCCCAGCTCCCCTTTCCTCCCCCGTGTACTCACATCTTCTCTGACAGGTCTTCATCCTCAGGGAAGGTCAAGTTCCGCTTAGTGATGAGGGCTTCAGTAATGCAGAAGCCCCCTTCCTCTGGATGCTGGGCAAGCTTAGCTGTGAAAAGATGAGTCCAATTGTCACATTCCTCCTTCTTGTGTAACCAGCTCTATAAGCAAGAAAATGTTTTCTCAATAATGTTTTTACTTCCTTATATTTCAAATGAGTTTTCAGTGTTCACATTATGGCTGGGGCTGGCAGCTCTAAGTGACCTTGACTCTAAGTGAGTTTTATCTCAGCCCTGCTAGCATAACAGCTACAGTCTCAAAATTGGCGGAAAATAGGGAGCTCTCAGTAAGAATTGCTGACTAGAACTTTGTAACTTTCTGTGGCACTAATGTATTCTCTTTTGAGTTTCTTTCCCAGAAACAGTGGAACCTCCTGGCAGCCATGAGATAACTAACTACAAAGGCTCACACCACCTGTTTGTTGGGAGAAGACAAGATAAGTGACATTCCACTACAGATTGTGCCCAAAGATGCATTGAGCCTGCCCACAAGGCTGAAAGAATGACCAATATTAACCCCTAGCTCATGATAATACTAAAATCCCTGCCTTGGGACTTACCTGTCATTTTTGGATCATGGGATGTATGGTATGTACTAGAATGATTTCTCACTGCGCTTGCGTGTCCTGCACTCCACCCCAAGCATGTGATGATGTTCACACCCCTCATGCCTTATTCATTTTGCTTCCAAAAAACCTGGAGGCGGATTTGAGGCAGTCCATACCTCCCACCTCTCTCTCAGTAGATGCACATCCATTGAAATAAATCCTTCCTTGACAATCCTCGTTGTCTCAGTAATTGGCTTTCTGTGGCAAGCAACATTGATCTGTGGGTTCGTTAACACTTGGCGGCCTGACCCCATTGTTTTCCAACTGTTCTACCCACCACCCCACCTCCGTAACTCACCTCCAGGCATAATCTAAAATAAAAGGCTGCGGTCTGAGAGGGGAGAGGAAGGAAGAGGAGCTTAACAGCTTTGGCGGCTCCTAGAAATGATAGAACCCAGGATGATAGGAGGAGAGAGAAACTCAGAGACTTGGAAGACAAGGGACAGGGGTTGATTCAGAGCAAATTGTTGGAGTGAGGTCGAAGACAACAGTAAATTGAGGTGGCGAGTCTGAAGTTTGAGGGGAGTGGAGGGGCTTTGCTGGCAGCAAACTAAAGGGTTGTGGGCAGGAATGGTGGGAGAGGAGCGGTTCCCAGCATTCAGGAGTTGTTGCTAGGAGACCGGACGCCAGGACGGGGGGCGGAGTAAAGGTGAACGCCAGTGGCCGGGCTCAGCGCATGCGGATTACTGCTCCAGCCCACTGCTTCCGGCCCCGGGGCTCACTGCCCCACAATGCTTAGCTCTTTCCGTCTCAGCTCGGCTCCCGTCCGTTCTTCCGGTGGAGATGGCTGCGGTGGTGACTGGGGTGCTGCGAGGGAGTCTCCTGCCCCAGGCGGGTAAGGAGTGGCCCAAGTGTTCACGGCGTGTGCGGTCTGCGCTCTCTTGTCCTCTTCTCCCCTCGTCTACTATGAATCCTTCCCGTAACCTCTGACCCCAGACAGCTCCCAATGGCCCTCGACCCCAAGCAAATCACTGTCCCCTTAACCGATCCAATTCCTTGTGACTCCAGAGTCTGGTAATCACAGCAGCAGCGTCCAGCTCTTGTCCGCCTCCAGAGTTTCTTTTGCTTGGACCACTCCCCGCCCAGACCTTTGCATTATGCCTCCATCTTAAAATTTCAGCCTAATCGCCGGTTCGGTGGCTCACGCCTGTAGTCCCAGCTACTGGGGAGGCCGAGGCGGGAGGATCGCTTGAGGCCAGGAGTTTGAGACCAGGGCAACATAGTGAGCCTGTCTCTAAAAACAAAACAAACAAGGTCTCAGGCTAAAATGTCACCTCCTCGGGCCTTTCCTCGCCTCCCTGTGCAAATCAAGTTTTCTCAGTTAAAGCTGTATTATGCACCCTGTTTACCTACCGCTTAGCCCCATCACAGTCTGAAAATTTGCATTTGTTTATTCGTGTGTCTTATTAAACTCCATAAGGGCAGAGCCATGTTCACTCAGCATAGCCAGCAGGTGGCATGGTGCCTGATGTCAGTAGGCATGCAATAGATATTTGTTTAATGAATGAATTTGAGTACTTAATATAAGCCATGCACTGTGATAAATGTTTTACATGTATTATTTAAATCTTAAAGCACCATGTGAAAAAGGTATTATCATCCTCTCTTTACAAACAAGGAAACTAAACTTCAGAACAGACCAGTCAAGTAAACTGGTCAGAATCAAAGCTAGTAAGTGGCAGAAGAGAATGAAATCCAGTTTCATTTGATTCCAAAGCCTGCACTCTTAACAGCTTCTATGGCCACTGGAGATAAAACCTCTTACCCCAGCAAATCTCCATGCTCTCTGATTGTTAGAGCCACCTTTTGGCTGAACCTTTTCCTGAGGTCCTGTCCAGCCTTGGGAATGGCCGAAAATGGGAAACTAGTCTTGGCCCTTTTGTTGAGGATAAAGGGGTCACTTGGGCTGAGGGTTTTTAAATGCCTCTCTTGTTTTCTGAGGGGTGATCTCTAGCATTTCTTTTTTCTTCTTTTTTTTAAAACAGTGTCTTGCTTTGTTGCCCAGGCTAGAGTGCCGTGGCATCAGCCTAGCTCACAGCAACCTCAAACTCCTGGGCTCAAGCAATCCTTCTGCCTCAGCCTCCCAAGTAGCTGGGACTACAGGCATGTGCCACCATGCCTGGCTAATTTTTTCCATATATATTAGTTGGCCAATTAATTTCTTTCTATTTATAATAGAGATGGGGTCTTGCTGTTGATCAGGCTGGTTTTGAACTCCTGACCTTGAGCAATCTGCCTGCCTTGGCCTCCCAGAGTGCTAGGATTTCAGGCGTGAGCCACCTCGCCCGGCCGGGCGCTCTCCAGCATTTCTGTAAATGGGAAGAGAGGAGAGAAGAAAGACTTGTCTGAGAGAGCTGTGAACATGATGTAATGTTATTTCCCCCTCTTGTTTCAAATCACAAGAAAAGACCTCAGAGCAGTGGTTAAAGCACTTGTTTTCAAACTTCAGTATCCATCAGCATCACAAGAAGGGCTTATTAAAACACTTTTTGCTGGACCCTACCCCAGAGTTTCTGATTCATTAGGTCTAGGGCAGCATCTGAGAATTTGTATATCTAACAAATTCCCACATGATGCTGATGTTGCTGGTGGGGGTGTGGGTGGGTCATATTTTGAGAACCACAGCCTTAGACCAGAGGTTGGCATATTGTGGCAGGGCTCGTTACCATGTTTTATAAATAAAGTTTTATTAGTATATTCCTTACCTATTTCATGTACATGTTGTCTATGGCTCCTTTTGGCAGAGCTTAATGTTAGTGACAGGCCATATGGATGGCCTCCAAACTTAAAATATTTACTATGTGGCCATTTAAGAAAAAGTTTGTTCAACCCTCTCCCTCTTTCCTCCATATGTTCAAAATACTTTCTCTTTTGTTCTCTCTACACATAAAGAAGAGCTGGAGAAATGGGAACCTCAAGGAAGGGTTCAAGCAGTTGACCTGAGGTCACCCGTTAGAAAAGAAAAGTTTGAGAATTCAGGATTTCTGGCAGACAATTCCTTATCCCACTCTTGTGCTTAGTGTAGCTCTGTAAGTCATGATTGTCTGTGCCCAGAGGGTGTGCTTTTTCTCCATCTGGGGCAAACTAGGGCCTTCAAGAGGCTACATTTCATGTTGCCATCTCCCTTCCCAGGCCAGCTACCCACCCTCCAGACTGTCCGCCATGGCTCCAAGGCTGTTACCCGCCACTGGCGTGTGATGCACTTTCAGCGACAGAAACTGATGGCTGTGACTGAGTATATCCCCCCCAAACCAGCTGTTAACCCAAGATGCTTGCCACCTCCTCCTAGCCCCCCACAGGAGGTAAGGAGGAGTCTGGGTACATGTCACTTGGTGGGATGGTGGACTAAAGAAATGTTACTTCTGGTTGTAGTGAAGTAGGAGTCCAAGCCATAGTCACTCACATCATTATTTCACTTTCTCACTTTAACTGCATGGTCCAGATAATTTAAAATGAAATCTGCACTTGATTCGATTGGCCTTTGGGCTCTGGATTGGATGGTACTCCTGGACTTCCTTCTTCTTTACTTGTCTCCAAAAGTGTGTGTGTGTGTGAAAGCTACTCAAGTAGGTGGGGTAGGAAGAGTGCTCTCCTGTCTTTAAAGGCATTAAAGATTCCGTGTTTTCCTAGAGGAATGATAGAGATTTTCTGTCCTTAAAAAAGAACAGAAAGATCAGTGAAGAATCTGTAACTTTGTGGTGCTTTCTGTAATTGTAGTCCATAATAAATTCTAGTTTTCTAGTTGTCTGCTGCTGCTTAAGGACTAGTTAGTTGTCATTTCCTGCTAGGGGCTGGAATGTGGGAAAGCAATCAGCAAGTGCAGCCTGAGGGGTCTAACACTGATTTGAAGAGATGATATGAGTCATTTGGCAGCAATTCCTCAAGGATGAATAGGAGCACAGCCCACCCATCGGGGTTTTCTCCTGGAGAGCAAAGAGCTGTCTGAAATGAGGCTGAGGCAGGCGGATTGCTCAAGGTCAGGAGTTCGAAACCAACCTGAGCAAGAGCGAGACCCTGTCTCTACTATAAAAAATAGAAAGAAATTAATTGGCCAACTAATATATATAGAAAAAATTAGCCAGGCATGGTGGCTCATGCCTGTAGTCCCAGCTATTCAGGAGGCTGAGGCAGCAGTATTGCTCGAGCCCAGGAGTTTGAGGTTGCTGTGAGCTAGGCTGATGCCACGGCACTCACTCTAGCCTGGGCAACAGAGTGAGACTCTGTCTCAAAAAAATAAATAAATAAAAAAAGAAATATTGTCTAAAGAAAATGAAGTCTTGTTCTATGAAAATGTCTCAATTTGAATCCAACACTGCAGAAGTTATCTTGTGTTTTCACTGGTAAAATAATTCAACATTAGTACAGAATCAGACTGATGATTGAAGTAATTTTGACAATATTATTGTCCAACAATGTTGACTGGGGCATGCTGCTGACCTGTCGTGGGCTGGGGAACTGAGTGGTCTCAGGCTTGAAAAAACACCTCTCTAAAGACTGCAGTTATCTAATGAAAACAAAAAGGTTAGAGTGGTCGATGTTAGATGTCTCTGAGAGTCAGGGGCCCAATTATCCTATCTTTCACATATCTGGGCATCACTGGAAGCCCTTGTACCTATACTGGAGGAGCAAGGGTGCCAGTAGATGTGACAGCTGATGTTCCCTTGGTCATCGCTTCCCGACTTCAGGAGACAGGCCTCATCCGGCTCCTTCGCCAAGAGATAGCAGCAGTTTTCCGAGACAACCGGATGATAGCCGTCTGCCAGAATGTGCCTATGAGTGCGGAGGACAAGCTGCTTATGCGGCACCAGCTGCGGAAACACAAGATCCTGATGAAGATCTTTCCCAACCAGGTAGGGAGTGGGACCCCTGGCATGGGTTGCCCGTCTTCCTCCCATCCCCACCAGACTCAGAATTCAGCACCTGCTCCCTAGGTATGATACCTTTGACTTTCCCCCTCCACAAGCCACCCTCTAGTCTGGTGCTAAAAATGTGATTAGGAGCTAAGAAGATCCTTGGGTTACACCCTCAGCCTGACACAGCCTGTGACGACTCTTCGACTTGTCCCTGATAAGCCATTTTGTCCTGCTGTCCTAGGTTCTGAAGCCCTTCCTGGAGGATTCCAAGTACCAAAACCTGCTACCCCTTTTTGTGGGGCACAACCTGCTGCTGGTCAGTGAAGAGCCCAAGGTCAGGGAGATGGTCCGGATCTTGAGGAGTGCGCCTTTCCTGCCGCTGCTGGGTGAGCAGGCACCCATGCCAATTAGGGGTGGTGGTGGTGGAGCAGGTGATATAGCAGCCTGGTGCCATCTGCTAGCCTTGTCTAGGTAAAACCGTGGACATTCATGGGGGGAACATCCTCTTGCGGATGGGACCTGAGTTGACAGCACATTTATTGAGGGCTACCTGTGTCACTTGCACCCCTGTGTTGTCTCACTACCCCAGGTCACTTCTGTACTGGAGGGAAGACTAGGAAAGGCAGAGACAGGGCTTGGGGAGGGGGCAAAGGGAGAAAATCAGGCACCTTGAATCTATCAGTGGGGTAATGGGTGCTAAAACCTACATGGATGAAGATATTTAAAACAAGTAGCCCAAGTGAAAGGTGCTAAGGGACAGTGGCCAGTCTTTCACAGATTCCCCTGATGCTAAGACTCACTGGAGGAACTTACTCTGTAGAGAATGCTATGCATTCTATTTCATGATTCTTATCTTTGAGAAAGTTTAGGAAACACTGACTTAAAGTGGGTCAGGGCCAGGTGGATGTATTATGTAAGAATTTTCTGAGAGAAGAGTCAGGAAGGGAGTGATGGATCCCAAGCAGAGTGGAAGTAGAGTGGGGCACCCTAGAAGCCAGGTTCTGGAAGGTGGGAGGTGGAGAAGGGCGATGGAGAGCAAGTTCCTAGGGTCCGAACATTGTTTCAGATGGGGATAGGCATTTGCAGGGGGCTCCACTGACCCTGTGTTCTTCCAGGTGGCTGCATCGATGACACCATCCTCAGCAGGCAGGGCTTCATCAACTACTCCAAGCTGCCCAAACTGGCCCTGGTGCAGGGGGAGCTGGTAGGAGGCCTCACCCTCCTCACAGCCCAGACCCACTCCCTGCTTCAGCACCAGCCCCTCCAGCTGACTGCTTTGTTGGACCAGTACGTCAAACAGCAACACGAGGGGGACTCTGTCATGTCAGCCATCGGGAAACCAGATGCTCTTGACCCTGTTCTGGACTCATAGAGAGCCTCGTTTCCCTAGCCCTGCCCATGAACATGCTCCGCCCTGTTGGCCATGCCATCCACCGCGGGAGATGTGGAAGAACTTGGGGTGGGGGAGTGGCATATGCTACTTGGCTTCCACTAACTACAACCTCCTTGGGTACAGGCCACTTGTAGATGTAGAGGGAATGGATTCCATTTCAGAATGAAGGCTGTTTGTCACTGGCCTTGTCCTTAGTTTTCCCAACTTGGGACCTGGTAGGAACATAGTCTCTCCCAGCTCTCCAGGTCCAAGGCAAAGAAGCTGAAAAATGAAGTCTTGTGTCTGGCCTCCTTGTTCACTGTCCCTTGCTGCATGTGGCTCCTCAGCCCACCCCCTCAGGGCACAGCCTGCCCCTGTAGCTCAGCCAAACTGACAGCCTGCCACAGCCAGGCCAGCTCTGTGCTGAGTGCTGTAGCCAGGTTAGTTCCTTTACTTCTCCCCATGTTTTCCCATTTCACAGAGAAGAAAACAAAGGGGCAGAGAAGTTAAATAACCTGCACAGGGTCATGCCGTCAGTGACTGGCAGATTAGGGACTTGAACCAGGTTCTCTGCTGTGAAGGCACACCCTGAATAACTAACTACACCAGAGCTTCCTCATGAGGGTGCCCAGAAGTGGGTCCCAGGTGTGCTTGGATGGCAGTTCTTTGCCCATGGGCCATGCCATGTTGTGGAAAGGTTGGAAGCATTGCTTGATGATGAAATGAAATGCCTTCTCCTTACACTTACCTCAGGGCATCTCTGTCCTCTCTCTTCTGACTCTTTCACTTCCCTTCCTAGAAAATCTTTCCTCTTCCCTGTACCTGTTCCCACAAATGGCATCTCTTTGTGCTTGTCCTGTTGAAGGCAGCTGACAGCTGTGTACAGTAGTCAACATGTCTCAGTCGGTTCTGAACAAAAGGGCCTGGGGGAAACCAGAATTCTCTGTTAATAAGGGATTCTGGGGTGCTGGAGTCAGAGGCCTCACTCAAGTCTTGGGGATCCAGAAGTTCCTAATAAAGGATCTAGAATGCTTAATCAGCAGCCTGCCATCGTCCTTGACTGGAGCATGTTCTGGGTGGATTCAGGGTGATACTGAGGGTGGCTGTTCAGCATTCCTTCCTGGAGCAGTGCCATAGCTTCCTTACTCCTGGACAGGCACTATCTGGCAGGGAGGACCTGCCGCAGCTTTTCCGTGGCCTGGGCCAGGACCAACTTCCCACAGTGCCCAGTTGCATGCCCAGGGATGTTCAATCACTCTGAAGTGAATTAAAAGGCCCTTGAGGTTCCTGGATGCCAGAGCTGGTCTGCCTAGTGCTGCAGTGTGGCTCTCCCTGCCTCCCAGAACCCTGCCAGCTGCTAACAATGCCCTTCCCCAGGGGTGGCTGGAGCGGAGGTTCTGAATGGAGCCAAGAGGACAGGTGTCCCTGAGAGGTGTGCCACTCTGACATACAAACCGAGCCCACATGGGGATAAGGTGGAGGGAGCAGGTGGCCTATATCATTTTGGGACCAGAGAAGAACCTGGAATTGCATCCTTCACCTGTTGGTGATGCCTGAGCCCCCACCATTAAAAGCCCACTTCTCTCCAGAAAGAAAACTTCAGTGCACTTAAAGCTGCAGTTTGTGCCACATTCATATGAATGAATTGTAGATCTTTCTTCAGCGGGTTTTTCACTGGAAAGCTGAACACAGTACTCCAGAAGAAGGGGAAGATTCTCTGAAAGGGAAAGGAGGGTACCAAAGTCAGCTCCAGCCTGCAGCTTTGGCTGCCCCAGACCTGCTCCGATCCAGACTCTGCAGGCGCTTGGGTTTCATTTTACTGCACTGGCACTCCCAGACCCTGAGGGGGCCAGACCTGGTGGGGGTTCACCCCTGTAAAAGGCCTTGGTATGGGGACACTGGCTGTCCCTCTGTCGCCTTGACTGCTCCTGCTGAGTGTGCCCTTGGAACTCTCTTGTGATCCCAGAGGGGGATCTGTCTCTTCCCCTTCAACCTGATACCTTTGCTGGCTCTAAATTTTGCAATCTATTTTCAGATGTAAAACGAGAGGCGAGGTTAATAAGGAAATGGCCTTGGGCACTAACAGTGTCAAGGCCACGCTAGTGTGAATAAATCCTTTACCACCATTGGCTTGAGGCCAGCAGTTCCCAATTCTCTCATGTATCTGGAACCATGCCCAATGGGGACTGTGCCCCGACTCCCAGGCCACATTGGTGCTGGGGGAGTCCGCTCAGTCCTGAGTCCTCCGGGGAGCAGGGGGGCAGAGCTGAGCGGCCGCCCGGAGCTTGGCGGGAGGAGGGGATGGGGGAGGGGAGGTGGAGAGATCCGGCTAGAGGGGAGGCTCCGACGTCTCCTTCCTTCCTGGTTCCCGCAGCAGCTGCTGCCACTGCTCAGCTCTGAGAGGAGGGAGCCGGTGACTCGGAGACGGTGACTCAGAAGCAGAGCGCCGCGAGGGCCAAGGAGCACAGGCGTCCATGGACCCTGGGGTAAGGGGGCCGCGTGGCATCAGCTGACATTCCCCGAGAAGAGCTTCCTCCCACCTGAAGCTGGTGGGTCTGCTCCTCCAGAGACAGGGGCGGGAATGGAGGTGGAGGGGGGCACCCACCTGGCTCACCTCAATCCCCCACCTTCCTACTGACAGAGCCTCCCCTCCACCCACAAGCAGTGGGGGCCAGGATGCCACGGGGCCAGGATGAGGGCACAGAGATACCCCAAAACCGGAAGAGTTTGGGAACTTTCAATGGCTGAATGCAGGAGTTTCCTCCCCGGATCAACCTCTCACTACATGGGCCCCTCAGCTCCAACCTCCTGGCCACCCTTACCCTGCCACGTTCCTGTCCCCTCCGGGCCACAGCTCCTCAGGTGCTTGCTAGCTCCATAAGAAGATCTGAGCCGCTTCCCCAGCCTCAGGCCAGCCTCGCCCCTCCAGTCCCCTCCCCCATCTCACACACACAGAGCCTCATGCATTATTGATCTCCCAGTGGAGCCTGGATGGCCAGGGCTGGTGCCAAGGGCGCCTGTGGGCACTACTGCGGGCCCTGTGCAGACCTCAGCATGTTCTTGGCTGCCTCTTCTCCCGAGTGTAGGGTCTCTTGTCAGCCCAGTGTCCTGCTTGCTCTGGGTGGGCGGCTCTGGGTAGGTGACACTTCTTAGGAGCCTCAAGAATTGGGTTGGTAGAAAGGGGATGGTAAGGATTGGAGGGGGGCGGACTGAGAGTCTAAGGTGGGACTCCTAGGGGCATGTTTGGTGGGAGGAGGCACAGAGAAAATTGGGGGCTATCTCAGGCCTCATTTTCCCCAAGCAGAAAATGGGAACCCAAGAACTAGAGGATGTGGAGACCAGTGGGTGGGGAGTGGAGGGTTCTCTGCAGGAGGATCGTGGCAGAGGAGCCTCCATACCTCGGTGGTTGAGCAGGTTGGGGGGTCCTGACGGAAGAGGCAGCTGGACTGAGAGCTTGCTTGTCCAGTCTCTGAGTCCCATCTATTCCCAGAGCTTCTTCCTTCCCTCCCCAGCCTCACCTCTGAGCACCCCCAGGGAATCCTCCAAAGAAAGTGCTGAGTGTTTTCTAGAGCCCCGGAGTGTGTGCCCAAGGTGGGGCTGGCCATACTTCCTGTGGCTTTCTCTTGGCACTGGCCTGTCTGTTGCGCACTGGTTCACCTCTCTGAGCAGTGGCCATAGCAGAGGGTGTAGGCAGGGAGACCTGTCCAGGGTGGGGTGAAGACAGAGGGACAGACTTCGGGAGCGGAATGGCAGGTGAGGATGTGTTGACCAGCACTTGTCTCAAAGGATGCAGGAGCAGTCCGAGGTGGGAAGCGGTGATAGCAGGGAGGGTCTGTGTGAATGTGGTCTCTCTCTTGCTTCAAGGGCCCCCCTAGGACAAGGTGACATCCTTCCCCTTCTGCCCTGCTCTACATCCTCAGCAGGGAGTGGCATTTCTCTACTCCATGGACTTCCAAGAGAGGGACTCTCCCTCCCTGGCCGAGAGTGCTCAGTCCTCGAAGCCCAGCGGTGCCCAGCAGGTCTGAGGGCGGGACAGTGGGCAGCGGTGGGCAGGCCTGGCCTGGATCAGAGTGGGGGCGGCAGACATGGTAGCCTCACCAGCACTCCCCTCCCTCTGTCCTGTCCTGGACTGCAGGCCTCTGAGCTGTGGGAGGTAGTGGAGGAGCCTCGGGGCAGGCTGGCGGCAGAGGGTATCATACCTGAGAGGCAGGAAGGCCACCTGCTCAAGAAGAGGAAGTGGCCTCTGAAGGGCTGGCACAAGGTAGTGGGGCAGGGCGCAGGGAGGGCCCAGATGTGGGAGCAGGGTCGGGAGAGGCTGCTGGGCAGTCCAGGGTGTTTGTGTGTTGGGAAGGGGAAGAGAAGTCGAGTGTGTGGTTGCTCTCCCTCACACCCTTTCCTCTCCCGTTTCTCCTGGGGAACGCCACAGAGATACTTTGTGCTCGAGGACGGGATCCTTCACTATGCGACCACTCGGCAAGATGTGAGTCAAGGCCATGGCTCGGGGTTGTGGGAGGTCTGGCCCCAGAGTGCCCTGGGCAGGCAGCAGGGGCCTGAAATACACCCGAGCAGGGTCTGAGTACCAAGTGCGCCATTCGCTGAGTGTGCGATCCCAGGCAGGACACTTCCCTGAGCCATAGTGTCCCCATTGCTAACTCGGGGAGAGCACCGTCACCCCTGTGTGTAGAGCTCTTGTCATTATAAGAGACATAATAAACACGGGGCTCTCTGGACAGTGCTCGGGCTTTGGGAGCTTTATTATCACCCTCATCCTTGTCCCATTCTCATGCAGGGGACAAGGAACTGAAGGTCTGGACACTCAGGTGCTCTCCAGGAGGGTGTTTTGTTCGGCCACCTTGCAGGTCCCTGAGGGTGGGAACATTTCCCCTTGCTCTGTGACTCCCTAGAGCTCAGAATGGCACTTGACATTGTGGATAACTACTTAGTGGGGAACTACTTGATGTGGTTCTGTACACAGGAGGGTGACAGAGAAGTCCTACCGATAGTGTGACTCAGACATGAAGGTGAACCTGCTGCCTGCCCTTGAGCCTAGAGTGGCCTCAGGCAGATGGTGGCTCTGTGGCCTGGAACCCTAAAACCAGTCCCCTGTCCCACCAACCCTCCACCCCAGATCACCAAGGGGAAGCTCCATGGCTCCATTGATGTCCGGCTGTCAGTCATGTCCATCAACAAAAAGGCCCAGCGCATCGACCTTGACACTGAAGACAACATCTACCACCTCAAGGTAACATCCCTGGGAGCCACGGATCGTTTTGGCCCCCAGCCTGGCAGAGGCGCTGGGGCACACGGGGGCAGGGGCTGAGGGTCCATGGAGCTCAGGGTCTGTCTCTGAGTTTGACAAGAAGGAAGTTCCCATCGTGTTGGTTGTTAAGTGAACAGGCATAGAGCTGAGGGCTCGGACACCGGGGGACATTGTGCTCCGCCTCCCTGCAGTGGGCTTTGCACAAACAGGGCGCTATTGCCTGGGGACCAGAGCCCTGTCTTCTTGTTCCTGGAAAACAGTTCCCCCCTTCAGGCAGCCCTCCCCCTCCGTCACTTCTGCAGATCAAGTCCCAGGACCTGTTCCACAGCTGGGTGGCCCAGCTGCGTGCCCACCGCATGGCCCAGCGCCTGGACGTGCCCCGCAGCCTGCTGCCTGGCGCCGCGCACCGGAAGGTGAGGTGGGCCCTGGGGTGGGGGCAAGTGACATGGTGATTCGGGGGGGTGGCTTTGGGGAACCATGATACCCAGGGAGGTGGACACCATCCTTCCTGACACTTGGCCCACTCCACAGGTTCCTGGTGCCCAGCTTCCAACAGTGGGCAGCACCTCAGCCCTGCCTGGGGTTGGACCTCGGGAGAAGGTGTCTTCCTGGCTGAGGGACAGTGATGGCCTAGACCGCTGCTCTCACGGTGAGGGGCCCGCACAGCACCTCCGTGGGTGGGGCCCACGCTGTCGGGTTTAGGTGGTGTCAGCAAGAGGGAAACAATTCCTTCCTTGCCTCGGGAAGCCCCAGTCTGATGGGGGAGGCAACCTCTGCCTCCAAGTGATCAGGTCTACTTGGGCCTGTCCTGGGGAGCCCCCACCTTCCAGAGGATGGCAGGGCTCGAGTCTTACACACGTAGACAGACACAGACAGAGGACCGGGAGTCATGGTGAAGTCACTGAATGAAGGATCAGTGCTAGGGAAGGGGTGTGCTCTACAGTCGAGTTACTGCAGGGAGGGGTGGTGATGTTGGCCTGGACAGGGAAGTGCAGACCAAGTGGAGAGAGAGAGCGACCCCTGACCTGCGCACATGCAGCAGGAATGAGGCATGGTCTCATCCCGCAGCCAGAGTGGAAATGGGCTGCAGGGTCTCCCGGGAAGCCGAGGAGGCCACACTGAGGGGTGGGGGCCTGGGGCTGCTCAGGTTCACATACAGGGGAGGGGAACAGTGTCAGGATCTCTGTGGCTGCCAGTGGAGACTTTGGAGGAGGAAGCCAGGGTTGAGACACTGATGGCCTCATTCATTCTTCCCCCAGAGCTCTCTGAGTGTCAGGGGAAGCTCCAAGAACTACACAGACTCCTGCAGAGCCTGGAATCCCTGCACCGAATCCCCTCTGCCCCTGTTATCCCCACACACCAGGTAAGGCCTGGGGGTCTGGGGGGAGACGGGTCCTGCCCAGGGCCCTCGATCCCATCACTTCCCTGGGACAGGTCCCATTCCTCTGTGTATGGCTACAGTTTCCTGGAGAGCCACACAGCCTCCGGGTTGCTTCCCCACCCATGTCCAAACTGTCAAGTTTGTCTCTTTGCTCCTTCCTCCATGCCCACGCCTCTGCCAGGGTGTTCATCTTTTTCCTCTGGAATGTCAGTTGTCTCTGTCACCTTGTGAGGCTGCCCTGCCCTCTGTGCCTAGGGTGACCTGTGTCATCCCCCATGGTTGTCTGCCTCTCCTGGGCTTTTTTTTTTCTCTGAGACAGAGTCTCACTCTGTTGCCTGGGCTAGAGTGCCGTGGTGTCAGCCTAGCTCACAGCAACCTCAAACTCCTGGGCTCAAGCAATCCTCCTGCCTCAGCCTCCCAAGTAGCTGGGACTACAGGCATATGCCACCATGGCCAGCTAATTATTTTTTTATATACATATTTTTTGGTTGTCCAGCTAATTTCTTTCTACCTTTTTAGTAGAGACAGGGTCTCGAGCTTGCTCAGGCTGGTCTCGGAACTCCTGAGTTCAAATGATCCGCCCACCTCGGCCTCCCAGAGTGCCAGGATTACAGGCTTGAGCCACTGCGCCCGGCCTCTCCTGGGCTTTGATGGTTACTGTCCTTCCCCCCCCACTCTGTGAGTGAAACTGCCCCCACCTCCACTTGCCAGGCCTCAGTGACAACCGAAAGGCCCAAGAAGGGGAAACGGACCAGCCGCATGTGGTGCACACAGAGCTTTGCCAAGGACGACAGCATTGGACGGGTGAGGTGGGGTGTGGGCCCCACGTTGCTGGGTCAGGATGCTCTGAAGGAGGCTGCCTCCTTCAACCCTCCCCTTCACCCACAGGTGGGTCGTCTCCACGGCTCTGTGCCCAACCTGTCTCGCTATCTGGAGTCTCGGGACTCCTCGGGCCCTCGTGGGCTGCCACCCACAGACTATGCCCACCTGCAGCGCAGTTTCTGGGCCCTGGCGCAGAAGGGTGAGTGCACGTCGGGTGGGGAGCGGGCGGGAGAGGGCGAGGGGTCTGACGTCCGCCCTGCCCCCACAGTGCATAGCTCCCTCAGCAGCGTCCTGGCCGCCCTCACCACTGAGCGGGACCGACTGCGGGACCTGCACCAGGGTTCAGAGCTATCAAGGATGGGGGTGAGGCCTGGGTGACGACGACGCGGCTGGCAGGAGGGGAGGGCTTGAGGCTGAGGACAGCAGGCACCCCATCCCCTCACCCTCTCCCTGCAGGTCTCCGAGGCCCCGGCTGGCCAGAGGCGCCTCCACTCGCTGTCCATCTCCTCAGACACCACTGCGGACTCCTTCAGCTCCCTCAACCCCGAGGAGGTGAGAGCCAGAACCTGCGCTTTCTCTCCCAGCAGCAGGGAGGGCCCAGGGTGCTGGGCACGGTTGGTTTTTAGTCCGAGTTTTAGGACTCCTGGCTCCAATGTCTTTCACATAACGCCGGCAGCAGCACGTGAGGTACTTTTATTTTTTATTTTTTATTTTTTTTTTTTTTTGAGACAGAGTCTCGCTTTGTTGCCTAGGCTAGAGTGAGTGCCGTGGCGTCAGCCTAGCTCACAGCAACCTCACACTCCTGGGCTCAAGCGATCCTTCTGTCTCAGCCTCCCAAGTAGCTGGGACTACAGGCATGCACCACCATGCCCGGCTGATTTTTTCTATATATATTAGTTGGCCAATTAGTTTCTTTCTATTTATAGTAGAGACGGGGTCTCGCTCTTGCTCAGGCTGGTTTCGAACTCCCGACCTCGAGCAATCCGCCCGCCTCGGCCTCCCAGAGAGCTAGGATTACAGGCGTGAGCCACCGCGCCCGGCCGGTACTTTTATTTTTAAATCCGAGGCCTGTGAGGCAGGATTCTTGCTCTCAAGATAACAAACCTGAGACTCAAAGAATCTGATTGATGGGCCCAGGCTCCCACAGTTATGGACTGGCTGAGCTTGGACTTAGGGGTTCTGAGCACAGTCTCTGGGGCTGTACATGTGGCCCCAGCTTTGTGACCTCGAGCCTCAGTGTCCTGACCTGCAAAGTGGGAGTAATAATTGCACCTACCTCATAGAGTGGCCGTCAGAACTAAATGAGTGAATATGTGCAAAGGGCCTGGGGCAGGCTTCAGGGTCAGTGCCTAGGCATTGTCGGCAGTTACTGTGGAACCCGTGTTCCCTTATTTCCAAGCCAGTGTTCATTCCACTGCCCCTTTATACCCCCTCGCTCCCCTCTGCCCCTTCAGCAGGTGTCACATTCAAACAACGAATGTCCCTGGTTATGCTCACCTCTCAAGGAAGCTGTCAGGGCAGGGGACCCCTGCCTGACCTCCTGGCCTGGCCCCTGGGGCCTGACACCATCTGCTGCCCTCACAGCAGGAAGCTCTGTACATGAAGGGGCGAGAGCTGACCCCCCAGCTGTCCCAGAGCAGCATCCTGTCCCTTGCCGATTCCCACACAGAGTTCTTCGATGCCTGTGAGGTTCTCCTCTCTGCCAGCTCTTCTGAGAACGAGGTGAGGGAGGAGGGATGAAGTGAGGGAGGAGGGACCCTGGCAGTGAGAGGGGAGGGGCCTCGGGAGGACAACGGTGGGTCCAGAGAGACTAGAGGCCATAGATTCCTGAGTCTTTTCTAGCCTCCTTGGTTGCTGTCTCTGGGAACATGTCCAAATCTGTTAGGTTTGTATGACTCTGCTCAGAAATCTCTGATGGGGACTCCTCCCAGTTTGACATGTTTTATCCCCACTGGGTTCTCCTGAAACTGCTGCCTCAGTTCCAACCCTGGTCATCTCCCCTGACCCCCTTTCACCTCGGTGCTCCCTGACTTCTCTCCCCGTACCCCACATCTCAGCAGTTCCCAACTTCCCTTCCCTTTGTGTCTTGCCAGTCCCCAAGCTCTCTCCCAAGGTAGCAGGGCACACTCTGTGATGCCAGGCCTCCCGGGGCAGTGTCTTAGGGCTCAGAGCCCCCCAATACATTCTCTTCCCCTTCCCACCAAAGCGTAGCTGGGCAGATTCTTGCCAGGCCCTGGGCACTGCCCAGCTGCCCGGGGGAGGCCCAGTCTGCCCGGCCTGTCATCTGTCCCGGCCCAGGGCTCAGAGGAGGAGGAGTCGTGCACCAGTGAAGTCACCACCAGCCTGTCTGAGGAGGTGCTGGACCTCAGGGGAGCTGAGCGCTGTCAGAAAGGTGCCAGCCGGGGCATGCAGGGGGGTGCTGGAGTGGGCTGGAGAAACAGGGTTTGTCCGCGGCCAGGCCCCATGCGGAGGCCGTTGCTTGTGGTGACTGGTGGCCTAATGGCTTTGTATGATGACCCCAGACGTGACTCCAAGAGCTAAGGAAGGCTAAGGCATGAGCTGGGGAATGTTCTGGAACAGCTGTGGAGGGTGGGCCAGGCTCAGGCCTGGGGCCTGGCCTCCCTCTGGCAGGCTGGGAAGGCTCGTGTAGGGTGAGACAGAGAGGCAAAAGATCCCACTTTGCCACTTGTTAGCAGCGTGGCTTTGGACCTGTCATTTTACTTCTCAGAGCCTGCTTCTTCATCTATAAGATGGGCCGAGTGATCTGTATCCGATGTCTGTTTCTGTGTTTATAAGGGGACAGATGGCAAGGGTGGGGACTCAGGAAGGGCTTCTGGGCTGCGGGGTCTCTGGCAGTGGGAACTGGGGCCTGGGAGTGAACAGACCTGCGAGCACTGCGGGAGGGTGGGAGGAGCAGGCCCTGCTGTGTCTGGGCTGCGGGTGCCCAGGCGGAGAGTGACACGGTGGGTGGGGTGGGCCAGGGGGGTATGTTCCAGGGAGAGCTGCAGGGCCACCCCGCCGCCGCTGCCTGCCGGCAGCCAGCGGACCCGGGGCGGACGTGAGCCTGTGGAACATACTGCGCAACAACATCGGCAAAGACCTGTCCAAGGTGTCGATGCCTGTGCAGCTCAACGAGCCGCTCAACACACTGCAGCGGCTCTGCGAGGAGCTCGAGTACAGCAGCCTCCTGGACCAGGCCAGCCGCATCGCGGACCCCTGCGAGCGCATGGTACCCACCCACCCTGGGGCCCGGCCCAGCTGCCTCTTCCTCCCCCAAGCCCTCTCTCCCAGACAATCCTGGCTGGACTGCTCCTTGCTGCTGAAGTTCCACACCAAGACCCCAGACTGCTTGCAGTGGGGTGGCGTCCCCATCCTCAGGCCACTGCCACCATGGTGTTCTCCCTGCCCTGCCTCCCGCAGGTGTACATCGCGGCCTTTGCCGTCTCTGCCTATTCCTCCACGTACCACCGAGCCGGCTGCAAGCCCTTCAACCCCGTCCTGGGGGAGACCTACGAGTGTGAGCGGCCTGACCGAGGCTTCCGCTTCATCAGTGAGCAGGTGTGGGCTGCAGGAGGAGAGAGCTGGCTCAGGTGGCTGGGACAGGGAGGGACCTGGGCTTCAGGGGCCAGAGCTGGGCCTGAGGAGCCAGGGCGTAGCAGGTGGCTCTGTGCCAGGGTCTGTGGCCTATGCAGGAGGTTGAGGGCTCTACTCAAAGGTGCTCCCAGCTTAGCGTGGGGTCAGCCTTGAAACTGGGAGTTCCTGGCCCTCGTCTGAGGCCTGGCCTGGCCGTGGGATCCTGGAAGCTCCACCTGGGAAGACGTGCTCTAGGGGGCAATCTTGGGCTAGGATGACTTGGAGGGTAAATTGGAGCGAGTCAAGGGTACAGGGGGTGGGGGGAGGGAACGTTCCAGACAGTGTGGAGGAACGCATGGGGCAGGTTTGGGAAGGAGAGAGATGGGGCTGGAAGACGAGGCCAGTCAGACCCTGAAGAGCCTCGTTGGTGAAGGTAAGGAGGGCTTTGGGGTTTTGTTTGTTTGTTTTTCAATCCTGAAGGCAGTGGGCGTCACAGGGGGTGTGAGGCAGTGGAGTGGCAAGCTCAGACTGGCACTCCATAAGGCACATGGGCAGTGCCTGCGATGGCAGGCAGAGGCCATTAGGGGCTGTTGTGGTCGTCTCCGTAAGAGCAGATGGGGCCCTGCACTCAGGCCGAGGCACGTTGAGTTTCAGAGCTGATCACGTGTCGCCCTTGAGAGGACTCTGGTCAGCAGGCCGTGAGTGGGGAGTGGCCAGCAAAAGGGAGAAGGCTGGGGTGGCCGCCTCCCTCTGGCTGGGGCATTCAGTGGTTCGTGGTGGTGCCAGTCAGTGAGGTGGAGAGCGTGTGGGAGAAACTGAGTCAGGGAGCACACTGTGCACATGGGCTTGACTTCCATGGGGAGACTTCCAGGAGGCTCTGCGGTCAGTGGGCCTGGAGCTCCTCAGAGAGCGCCGAGTGGAGCTAACAGATTGGGGTGGCCAGCTCGGGGAGAGGGACATCATGGAGAGACTGCCCCTGGTAGGACTGTCTGAGGAGGTGGGCAGGTTGGGGTGCGGGGGGAGCCCTGAGCGAGAGGGAGGGCAGATCCCTGGGACTTGGAGGGTGTCATTGGCTTCCTGAGCGAGGGAAGTTTCAGAGAAAGAATGGGGACAGAGACTGGATTACAGTGCGTGTACAGTGGAGGTTAAAAAAAGAAAAATGCAGACTGTTTCCAAAAAATTTTGCCATGAGGGAAAACAGAGAGAGGGTAGCAGTTAGAGGCCATTTGTTTGTTTAGATTTTAAGTGATCTTGAAAACACACAGTACAATCGTGTGTACAATAGGAAATAAGCCTCCCCTCCAAGGGGACTGCTGCCACCAGTTTTTGGGAATCCTCCCGGAAATGTTTTATGCATATGTGAGCAATAAACGTATGCATCTAGAGAGGGAAGGTTTACTATTTTTTAAGGTGGAAAAAACAGAAAATCTTTATATTCAGAGAGAAAGAGAATTCATAGAGGGAAGGACTGAGGTGCAGGAAGAGGGGAGGTGGGGGTGGGGGCCTGGGAACCAGGAGCCCAGGATGGTGTGGGGGTGGGGCAGGGGCAGGCGGGTGAGGCCCCAGAGGAAGGGGCTGCCTTCCCTGCTTCCCCCTTCTTCCTCTTATCATGGGTCTCACGGGAAGAAGAGAGGACTAGGGACTTCAGTTGGCCAAGGGTGACAGGGACAAGAGACCTGGACCTAACTGGTCTTCTGGTTTGCAGGGAACTGGGGTGGGGGGAAAGGACTTTGGGGGGGGCTCCGATGTCAGGAGCAGACCCCAGCGTCCTCAGGGGCAGCTTCAAGAGAACGTGTTTGCTCACCCAGGTCTCCCACCACCCCCCCATCTCAGCGTGCCATGCGGAGTCTGAGAATTTCACTTTCTGGCAAGGTGAGGAGTGGAGGGCAGGGCCGGGTGGCTCTGGGGGTAAAGGGCAGGTTGGGAGGGGCTGGAATGCTCTGGGGCCTTATCTCTGTTCTTCCCTCTCCCTCCCAACCGACTGCAGACATGAAGTGGAAGAACAAGTTCTGGGGCAAATCCCTGGAGATTGTGCCTGTGGGGACAGTCAATGTCAGCCTGCCCAGGTGGGTACTTTTACTCCCAGCAGCCAGGCCCAGGGATCCTCCAGGCTGGAGGTGGGGCGGGTGTCAGGGCCTGGATGGGGAGGTCTGAAGCTGCTTGCAGTGAGGGCATTGTCCGATGTTTGACACCTATACTCACAGCAGTCGCCAATAAAGAAAGATAAAAAGCTTAGCAGGTAGAGCTGGAAGGGCCCATCGAGGTCATCTGACTCAGTGGCTTTCAGAAGTTTTTGACCCTGACTCAAAGTAAGAAATGCTTTTGAGACTTTAAGCCAGCGCACACACAAACATAGAAACCTGAGTTGATTTCAGGACTAATGGGTCACAAACCACATTTGAAAAACCCTCTCTTTTAGCTCATGTTACAGGTGGGGGACTGGAGCCAGGAAGCAGGGGCTCATTGAGAGCAGTCCGGGAGTTTGGGGGAGGCCATGGGAGGGGGCTGGAGAGATCCTGGATTTTAGAGACAGAAATCCCAGAAATCCTGGGTTTGAGTCTCAGTTCTGCCACTTGGTAGTTAGCACAAGCAGCAGAAAGACTCCACGCCCGGGAGCCTTGTGTGCCTGCCTGTAAGATGAGAGCTGTAAGTAACACCCAAGAGAAGTGGGATGAGACAGGATGGCATATGTGAACGGCCCTACCATTGTCTCTGGCACCCAAGGACAGGGAACCCCATCTGTATTTGTACTCCAATTACTTAGGCACTCGGAAACTTTATAAATGGGTGGGGACCTGCTAGCTAGAACCAGGCCCCAGGGTTCCTGCCACAGAACCATGCGACTTGCCCTAGCAAGACAGGCACGCCCGACTCACTTGTTCCCTGGGGTCAACCAGCTGCCCCCCATGCCCTGTCTCTTTCAGGTTTGGGGACCACTTTGAGTGGAACAAGGTGACGTCCTGCATTCACAACATCCTGAGTGGCCAGCGCTGGATTGAGCACTATGGGGAGGTCCTCATCCGAAACACACAGGACAGCTCCTGCCACTGCAAGATCACCTTCTGCAAGGTGGGTATGCCACCCTGACCCTGCCCGGCCACCCCCAGCAGCCTCTGCCTCCAGAGGTCACCCTGAGTAAGGAGGAGGGGACACCCACGAAACCTCTCTTCCCCACCCCAGGCCAAGTACTGGAGCTCCAGCATCCATGAGGTGCAGGGTGCTGTGTTTAGCCGGAGTGGCCGCGTCCTCCACCGCCTCTTCGGGAAGTGGCACGAGGGGCTGTACCGGGGACCTGCGCCAGGCGGTCAGTGCATCTGGAAACCCAGTAAGTGGGGTGGCCAGGGAGGGCCAGGCAGGGCGAAGGTGACTAAGGCACAGTCCACCTGCCGCAGCCCCTTGCCTTCCCCAGACTCGATGCCCCCAGACCACGAGCGAAACTTCGGCTTCACTCAGTTCGCCTTGGAGCTGAATGAGCTGACGGCAGAGCTGAAACGGTCACTGCCTTCCACCGACACGAGGCTCCGGCCAGACCAGAGGTCAGTCCGGGCGAGTGCCACCCTTGCACCACCTCCCTCCTCACGGGGCTCCACAGAGCTGGGACTTTGTCCTTCCTTCTCTGAGTTGCCTCAGGGAAATGGCGCCTGTTTGGGGGAGAGCTGGGCAAGGACAGAGGCCTTGGACTTGGGGCCCCTGTGGATGGGCGGTTCTGCCCACTGCGATCGGGGTCCTCAGGTATCTGGAGGAGGGGAACGTACAAGCCGCTGAGGCCCAGAAGAGAAGGATCGAGCAGCTACAGCGAGACAGGCGCAAAGTGATGGAGGAGAACAACATCGTCCACCAGGCCCGCTTCTTCAGGTGCCTCACCCGGCCCTCTGCCCTGGGTCTCTGCAGTCTGTGCCCCGCCTGTCCCTTAGGCCTGGGTTGAGCGGGACAGAACATAGGAGGGGTACCTCTGCTCCTGGCCTTCGTGCTGGGCGCTCGCCCTTCTCACTTCCGCCCACCCTCTCCCCCAGGCGGCAGACGGACAGCAGCGGGAAGGAGTGGTGGGTGACCAACAACACCTACTGGAGGCTGCGGGCTGAGCCCGGCTACGGGAACCTGGATGGGGCCGTGCTCTGGTAGCCCTGGCTCCGGGGGCGGAGGCTCTGCTTCCTCAGTCCTCCTGCCTCCTCCCCCACTGTGGACACATGGGTGAGGCCAGGCTCCCTGCTCACTGCCCTTGAGACCAAAGGGGCAGCCCTGGCTCTGGCCCTCTCTCCCCTCTGCTGGCCAGAGGGGTTGCGCCCCCCCATGCCCACCCCATGGTTTGGGGTGAGAAGCAGTATCTGTGCTTCCCCAGTCTTGTCGCCCCTGACAACCAGCATGTAAGACCCTTCTCGCTCTGTCATTCCTCTTCCTGTCCCCCTTGGGGTGCTTAGGGGAGACTCCGGACTCCCAGGATCTGTTCCCCATTTCAGTGCCTTCTTAGGACACAGGGGACCCCTTGAGGCTCCCAGGCTTTCTGTGCCCAGGGCTCTGTCCCTGGCCGTGAGATTCCAGCGAGTGGGAAGAGGAGATGGCCTTTCCTTCCACCCCGCCCCACACCCCATCTCCAGTGTGTTCTCTGCCTTGCCCTGGCCCAGCAGGGCTTTCTCCAGCCCCCTGCAGTTGGTCCCTGGGCATCCTTCCCATCCTCCAAACTGCAAAATGCTTGCAGCTTCCAGCTCCTTTGTCCCTGATCCTCAAGTGGTTCCCTTCAGTCTCAGCAGATTCCCCAGAGGGGACAAAGCCCCTCCAAGAGGAGGGGAGCAGCCTGAGGTGCCTGGCCTCTGACCCACGGGCAGTGAGTGTGTGAGTGTCTGGGTGTCTCAGGTTGTGTAGGAGAGCGTGTGCGTGTGCGTGAGTGCGCGTGTGCGTGAGTGCCCGTGTCCTGCTTGCGGGCGAGCAGGGTTCCTTCATGTAGCCCGGACGTCCCCCTGCGGGGTGTCCGCCAGCACTGCTGCTCACTTTCCCAGTCTGCCTCTGAGGAAGGTGGATTGCTCTGACATTCCAAGCTCCAATAAAGACTGTCCCAGAATTTGGCCTGTGACCATTCACTGAAAAACACGTGTGCTTTAGCACAGTACCTGTGAATGGGACCTTATTTGAAAATAGGGTCTTTGCAGATATGCCAGGTTTAAATGAGGTCATCTTGGATTAGAGTGGCTCTACTCTAGTGACTGGTGTCCTTATAAGCAGAGGGAAATTTGGGCACGCAGACGCATACAAGGGAAGATGACTGTGTGAAACACACACGGGAGTGGGCCACGTGGAGACGTAGGCAGAGACTAGAGCGATGCAACTACTAGCTGAGGATGCCAAGGATTGCTGGCAGCCACCCGAAGCCACCCGAGGCTCACTCAGCCTCCAAGAAGGAGCCAAGCCTGCTAATGACTTGATTTCAGACGTCCAGCCTCGGCTGTGAGAGAATAAATTCCTGTTGTTTTAAGCCGCCATCATGCGGTGCTTTGTTACAGAGCCCGGGGTACTAACCCAGCCACTGCTCACCTGAGCTGAAAGCCCAGAAGGTGCCTCCCTCCCCCTGGGTTCTCACGCCTGTCACTTCTGCCTCAAGTGTCCTCCGCTCCCTTCTCCCCGTCCCACCTGGCTGGGCCGGGCCCTCCTCAGCCCTTGCCTGGACTGCTATGGAAGCCCCCAGTCCCTTCTAGCCTAACGCTGGCCTTCAGGGAAGCATTTCAAAAGAGGAAATATGGCATTTCTTGCCTGTTTAAAATACATCCATTGCTTCCCAGTACATAGAGGAAAAATCCAAACCGTTCATGCAGTGGAAACCTGCGTGGGCTGTGTCCCCCGTGTGGCACAGAGTGCTGACCGCCACACTTGCATCCTCAGGCAGGTCTGTGCCACCCACCCAAGATGTGGGTGTTCCGGGAAGGGCAGGAGGGAGGACAGGGCAAGCTGTGGGTCCTCCCACTCCCCTGCCACTGAGGCTGAGCTCAGACCGGGCTCTGTTATTGCAAAGCTGTGTCGTGTTTGAGTAGCCTTACCTTCCTGTCAGAGGCTTTTGTCCCTCATGTAGTCTCTTCTGTGTCTTAAAGTAGAGTGTCCGTGAAGGGGCCCAGGCTCCTTACCCCGCTCCGCCCCACCCTCCGCAACAACAGCCTGCCCTAGTCCTGCCCTGGTCTAATGGATGTCCCCACAGGATGTCATTGTTTCCCTGGGAGGTGGCAGGGTGGCAAGAGCAGAGGGAACCCCCGAACCGTCATCCTTTTCTTCTCCCCCTCCCCCCGCGCCTGTGGAGGAGTGGTGGTCCACGTTTCCACAGCTATTTACAGACAGTGTTAGAGTTAAAACGAACACACTTGTCCTGACACCACATGCCAGAAATAACCTCAACCCATTCCAAAAACAGCCACAGCCCCCACACACTCAGGACTTTTCCAAACTGTCTGCACCGCCCTCCTCCCGACCCTCTCCCCTCAGAGCCGCCCGGCGCTGACTGACCGGCCTGTGTTCCATTTCCACATATTTTAAGAACTGGGTTTAAAATAAATCAAATTCCAAAGTTATTTTTCCAGTGGAGACAAGAAACTAGAAACGCCTCTACCCACGGGAACCACAGTGCGGCCTGTGCCGTCAGGCCAGTGTCCTCCCGGAGTCCTCCTGGCCTCGGCCCAGGTGGGAGGGCTGGGATGGCTTTTGCGCTTGCTGGGCCCAGCCCGTGAGGGGCACTTCCTTCTGAAGGATGGTTGTCTTCTCAGAAACACTCCCCATGTGGCCAGGGTTTGATGAGTCATTGCTGATGGGGCTCTGGCCCCAGGCTGGGCTCTGTGGACAGGGTTCCAAGGGCCCAAGGCCCCTTTGGGTTCAGGGAGCAGTGTCACCTCCCGGCAACCAGGAAGACCAGGGTGTAGGGTGTTCATGTTGTGGTCGGAGGAAGGAATAGTGGGCCCCCTTCTCAAGCCTATATCAGCCTAGTGCAAATGACCCACGGACATTTGGGCCTTGGGGTTGCCCAGCACAGACCCAGGACTCTTGGCTTTGGTTGGAGGACGTAGAGGGCCTGGAGGGGAGGGAAGGGGAGGAATTTGGGGCTTAATAGCCCCAAATCTTATTTTTTTGTTTTCTTCTTTTTTGAGACAGGGTCTTACTCTGTCATCTGGGCTAGAGTGCAGTGGCTTCATATAGCTCACTGCAACCCCAAACTCCTGGGCTCAAGCGATTCTCCTGTCTCAGCCTCTCAAGTAGCTGGGACTACAGGCATGCGCCACCAAACACAGCTAATTTGTTCATTTTTTGTAGAGACGGGGTCTCGCTCTTGCTCAGGCTGGTTTTGAACTCCTAACCTCAAGCGATTCTTCCAGCTAGGCCTCCCAGAGTGCTTGGATTACAGGCGTGTGCCACTCTGCCCAGCCTAATGGCCCCAAATCTTGACTCAAAGTGCAGCAGTTTGTCAAGCCAGGGACCCACTTCCCTGGCTGAGCAAAGGACAGTGCTTAACCAGCAGGCGAAATGATTGAGCCAGACAGTAGGGGCAAAGGGGGAGGAAGGCAGGCAAGTGGTGTCACAGTCCTCACTTCACCTGCTTAGACCTTCAAATCCCAAACTGCTCCACCCAGAGAAAGATTTTTTTTTTTTTTGAGACAGAGTCTCACTCTGTTGCCCAAGCTAGAGTGCCGTGGCATTAGCCTAGCTCACAGCAACCTCAAACTCCTGGGCTCAAGTGATCCTTCTGCCTCAGCCTCCCAAGTAGCTGGGACTATAGGCATGCGCCGCCATACTCAGCTAATATTTTTTTCTATATATTTTCAGTTGTCCAATTAATTTCTTTCTATTTTTAGTAGAGACGAAGTCTCGCTCTTGCTCAGGCTGGTTTTGAACTCCTGACCTTGAGCGATCCTCCCGCCTCGGACTCCCAGAGTGCTAGGATTACAGGCGTAAGCCACCCTGCCCAACCCCCAGAGAAAGATTTTTAAAAATCGTTTTTAATTTAGCTATTGAACAGCTGATGGGGACACCTGGCTTACAAGTGGCAAAAAAATTTTAAAAAGTCAAAATACTTTTAACCCCTATTTTCCTGCATCTTCTGAATAAGGGGCTTGAACCAGCTGAGGGGCCAGGGCATTCACATTCCCTCCTTGATGTCTGAGTGAGGTCCTTCCCACCCTGCAGCTGGAGTGGGTGTTGGAGGCTGGAGGCCCCCGGGTGCCTCCCTGCTCCATCCTCATGGCATGTAGCCAACATGGAGGTGGATGTAAGCAGGGGTTCCCACCTTCTCTGTCTCGGGGAGAAGGAAGGCAGTGGGGACAGTGAGGGAGTGGGGGACCTGCAAGCCCCTGACTGATGGCTGCTGAGCCTGCAGAGACCTTCATGTCTGACCTCAGTTCCACTGGCTCCGGTCTGCCCCTGGAAGGGCGCACAGCTCTCCTGCTCTGGGCTGTCCTAGTGTAGTCTCAGTTCCCCACAGGCACCTTCCAGGCCAGGTTACATCGCCTGGCCCTGTCCCACCTCTTCAGGGAATGTGCAAGGGAGCCTTGCAATTGGGTCATTAATTTAATGACGCCTCCTTACTGGAAGGGACACATTTTTTATGTGATTCTCCCCTCTAGTTCTAGCATGGGCAGAAAAGAGGTGGAACTTACTTCTCTCTCCCTGGGACCCACTTCTGTGCCCCTTAGTGTCGTCAGAGAGACCCTCACAGGCCGGCCTGGGCCAGGTCTTTTTCCCCTGATAATCTCTTCCTGGCACAGACATGTAACCAGATCACTCAGCCCTATATGATGGCCCAGGGACCCTGATTCTTGCCACACCCTCATCTTTCCCTCATGCATACTCTTTTTTTTTTTTTTTTTTGAGACAGAGTCTCGCTTTGTTGTCCAGGCTAGAGTGAGTGCCGTGGCGTCAGCCTAGCTCACAGCAACCTCAAACTCCTGGGCTCGAGCGATCCTTCTGCCTCAGCCTCCCGAGTAGCTGGGACTACAGGCATGAGCCACCATGCCCGGCTAATTTTTTTTATATATATATCAGTTGGCCAATTAATTTCTTTCTATTTATAGTAGAGACGGGGTCTCGCTCTTGCTCAGGCTGGTTTTGAACTCCTGACCTTGAGCAATCCACCCGCCTCGGCCTCCCAAGAGCTAGGATTACAGGCGTGAGCCACCGCGCCCGGCCCCTCATGCATACTCTTAAGAGGGGGACAGCAAGTGCTCTCGAGATCCCCAGCAGACAAGAGTCTGCTCAGCAGCTCAGCAGGGCGCTCTGGGCAGGATGGTCCCAGGGGCTGGGAGAGCTTGGCCCCAGGGCGTGGGGCTTCTAGAGTGCTACCGCATCTCATTAGCATAGTCTTCAGGTTGCTGAGAGATGCTTCCAGGCCCTAACATACGTGTAGGGGGTGGTTTCACATGGCAAGTCCAAGCGGTTAGCACTACACCCCAGGACGCCAGGAGCCTGGGGTTGCAGGGCCTTGTTGACTGCTAATATAAGAGGCCCTCCACATGAAGGATCTGTCCCGAGGATGGTAGGTGGGTGTGCTGGGCTGTGGGAAAGGTGTGGGTGGCAGAAGAGATTGGAAGGGTCAGGGCAGGAGCAGGAAGGAGAGAGAAAAGCCACCGCATCAGCTACACCGTCTGTGTGTGCCGGACCAAAGTGGTGAGATTCTCCAGGCGTCCTCAAGAGGGCGCTCCGAGTTCTCGAAAGGACCAATTCAGTCAATCCTGAGCCCCACCTAACAGGTGGCTGCACCCGCAATCTGCTCAGTTTCAAGCCTCAAGAGTGTGGTGGCAGCTGGGCCCAGCCCAGCAGTGACAAACGGTGCGGCGGACACAGCCCATATTCCTGCAGATCACCCGCCACGCCCCACGGCCCCTTTTACACTTTAGAGACTCATGAATCAAGAAACCCCCTGTTCTGGGAGACCCAGTTGTCCCCAGCTACTCCCAGAAGCTGCCCAGATGATCTGGGGGAGGATGGCCAGGCCCCTTTGTGGGTGCCTCCTCACTGCCAGGTAACAGTTGTCCCAGGACCTCCTCTCCCCCATCCAGGGATTCCTCCTAAAAGGACTTTTCCCTGTTTCCGCTAACATCTCTCCTGCCTCTGTACCCCGAGCCCGTCACACACTGGGACAAGAACCCCTGAATTTAATCCTGTACCCTAACTCTGGGACTCCAAAGAGAAAGGAAGGTCAAGTGGGGAGCAGGAAGAGCAGCGCCCTTCGACTCAGGCAAGAGGCCTCTGCTCTAGGGCTCTGTCCAGCGTTCCTCCAGCTGCCCCTCCCCACGGGCTGAGGCATCTGTGGGCTGGGGGGATAAGTTCACCCGGCCCCCTCACAGACAACATTCTCAGTGCCCGGGACCCTGGAATTCCTGACCAATCAGCCTCTGGCCCGCTGTGCAGGTCGTTTTCCTAGGTAGGCCTTCTCAAGGGCAGACTGTGCCTGATAGCACGCACAGAGCACGGTGGAGAGGGGGCTGGCCTTGGCCGGGTCTCCCTGCAGCGG